GATGGCTGTGGAAACAAGGGGAAAATAGGATTGACAGGAAGCACAAGTTTGTGACCTGGACACATTACTGTGTGTCTGGTGTGCCAGCTCTGCGGCACTGGTGGAGAATGCCATTTCTCGTGCACTGGTCCATCACCCTCCTCAGGAAGTATATGGTCCTGAGCCAGCACCACAAGACCATAATATTCTAGGAGGAGGTGCCATGTAATATTCTTATTATCATTTACTTCTTTTTTCTCGATGATTTAGTTTAAGAGTGTTAGCACTTGAGACACACACATTCCATATCCAAGGAGATGGGTTTGAGTCCTAGCTCCACTGGCCATTCTAGCTTCATGCTAATGCAAACCTGGGAAGCAGCAGGTGGTGGCTCAAGTATTTTCCTGGGTCCTGGCCATCCACATGGGAGAACTCCCTGGCTGTTACAAGCCCTGGAGGAGTGAATCAGCAGATGGGAAACCTCTCTCTCTCTCTCCGGCTCTACCTCTCTCTGTAACTCTTTCAAATAAATAAAATCTTGTGTTTTTTTTTTTTTTTTTTAAAGGGAAACATGGTGAGAAGATGCAAACAGCATATTGCCTATGCAGTTTGTAGTTCATTCTGCCAAGTAAAATGAACACATCAGGATATCAGTGTAGGAACTGCTGCGCCTCTGAGGCAACTGTCACATGGAGGCCAACGCCATGACCCAGACTTTACCAAAACCAAGGTTAGTGTTGCCTGTTTAGAATATCGGCAGGAACTGTCAGATCTTTCCTGATCTCCACTTTAAAAAAAAAAAAAAAAAGATTTATTTACTTATTTGAGACAGACAGAGGGAGAGACAGAGACAGAGGTCTTCCATCCACCGGTTCACTAACTCCCCAAATGGCTACAACAGCCAGAACTGGACCAATCCAAATCCAGGAGCCAGGAGCCTCCTCTGGGTCTCTCATGCAGGTGCAGGGACCCAAACATTTGGGCCATCCTCTACTGCCTTCCCAGGCCACCAGCTGGGATCTGGACCAAAAGTGGAGCAGTTGGGACCTGACTGCTGCTCATATGGGATGCCAGTGTTGCGGGCAGAGGCTTAACTTACGGTGCCACAGTGCCGGCCCCCAGTTATTTGTTTTTAATTTTTACTTTAGTAGAAATCAGTAGTCTTGTACCACTGATTACAAAGAACATCAATGTCTTGATCTACCCCTTCTTTAAAAATCCCACCAAGGAAACCACTTTTAATTAATTTAACTTCTTCATTTGCAGTTTACTTGGCTGTCTCTTAATAGCCAACATCCTTTGTTGTTTTTAAATGATGGTTGTATTGTGATATAACTCATGTACCATGCAATTCACCCTTTTAAAATGCACAATTTGGTGGTTGTAGTATATTCAATTATACAGCCAGCGCCACTAATTTTAGTTCATTTACATCACCCCTGCCAGAAAACCCTTATATATTAGCAGTTCCACTCCTCCTTCCCATACCCCAAGTCTGCAAACTACTAATCTATTCACTCTATCCCCATGGGTTTGCCTATTCTGAATGTTTCATAGAATGAAATCATACAACACATGGCCTTGGCCTTGGTATTTGGCTTCTTTCACTTAGAATGTCTTCAGAGTTCATCCACATTGTCATGTATATCAGTACTTTGTTCCTTTTTATAGCTAAATATCCACCATGTTCCATTATGTGAATGTATCACATTTTCTTTGTCTACTTCATTGTTGATGGACATGTGGATGCTTCTTACTTTTTGGCTATCGTGAATAATGCTGCTGTAAACATTTGTGTCAAAGTCTTTATGTGGACGTATGTTTTCAGTTCTCTTGGGTATATGCCCAGAAGTAGAATGGCTGAGTCACTGATATGTTCAGGCTTTGGACAAAATCTACACCTTCTCACTTTGGAGACATCTCACTTGTCTTTACTAACATCCTACCCTTCCCCCCTAACACACACACACACACACACACACACACACACACTTCTTATCCTTCAATATCCCAACGCTTTTACCAAGATCGTGGTTGTATCAATATTAATACGACTATACGTAAGTTGAACTATGATTACTGTTCTTTACACAGCTTTCAGTTTAAATGGATCTTGTCTGTTTTCTGTATGTTTACTATCACCTTGTCCTTGGAACTCCTCTTAAAAATGTTCACATGACATTAGGCGTTCCATCAGCTTCACCATCTCGGACTCCTCGGAGTCTTCTGACTTTGCTCATCCTGCACAAGTTCACCTCTGCACCTGCGGCATGACGGCCCTCTTGGAGACTTTCCTTCCAGACCATGCTCAGGATTTATTTCCCGTATCTTCTTGTTGAAACCCTCTTTTCCTGGATTTCAATAGTTTTCTCTTTCTTGCTTCACTTGTTTTGCTTATTTCAATGAAACAGTTCCTCTATTTGCATCCTGAGAAAGGCGCATAAAGAGCATGAACTTGAATGTCTGAAAAAGTGTTTATATTATTTGACAGCTTGGCTAGGTGTAAAGTTCCATGAATTTTTTTCCCCAGAATTTCTTCTAGTTTCCACTGTATGGATATACATTTTGATTATCCATTCAGCAGCTCGTGGAAATTTGAGAAGACTGATGCTGTTCTGAATTTTTTCTTTTTTTTGGCAGAATCTAGTCTTTACACTCTCCAGGCATTTTAGGATTTTTCTTTTTTGACTCCAACATTAAATTCCACATATGTTTGACTAATACTTATTCATTTTTTCTGGACACTTGATGAACCCTTTTTTCTAACAAGAGACTTCAGTGCTGAGAACTTTTCTTGAATTATTTCTTTGGTGGTTTCATTTCTTTCCTTTTCTGTTACTTTCTATGATTCATAGTGTTAGGAATTGAATTTCCTGGCTTAATCCTCAAGTATTATAACCTTTTCTAGCTTCTGTGATTTTGTAATTTTCTCACTTAATGATCACTTTTAAAAGTAAGAATGATACAGCAGTATTTTTGAAGGCATATTACAACATTTCTTGCTGACATCATATTTTTGAACCAACTGTTGCAGGAATATTGTCCAATAGACACTGTAGTGACCTTAATTAACAAATATTAATGCATTTTGTTTGTATTTTAGGGGCTGCAGTATGTAAAGGAGGCGATACTCATGGTGGGAAGACACTGGGGAATAAAGCCCCGAGTCAGGTTGGACTGGGAACAGTATTTCAGCGGTACAGTCAGAGGAAGCAGTGTGGATATAGGTCGCAAATTCTTTCCACATTCCCTTTGGCTGCCTGAATTTGCTTTGTCCCCAGAGTTCAGTTGTCTGCTCCTTTAGCTTTCAGGCTATGAGTTGGATTCGAAAGTCTGGAGATTCTAGGTTGTTCATTCCTAAACATAAATTTTTCTGCATGAGTAACTTGTATACAGTTTAGAATGTCTTCAGAGTTCATCCACATTGTCATGTATATCAGTACTTTATTCCTTTTTATAGCTAAATATCCACCATGTTCCATTATGTGAATGTATCACGTTTCCTTTGCCTACTCAGTGGACATGTGGATGCTTAGAGACTGTTTAGATTCTCTTCTAACATCTCTCACCAGGTCTTCCCTTGAATGTTGTGCTGTGGTTTGAGTATGGTTTGTCCCCTCACAAAGTCATGTTGAAATTCAACTGCATTGCTCTGGTGTTGAGAGATGGGCCTTCAAGAGGTGCTGAAGTCATAAAGCGGGATTGATGCCTTTTTCACAGGACCAGATCAGTGACCACAAGAAGGAGCGCTATGAAATGAGGCAGACCACACCCCGTGCTCTTTCCCTTCCAGTTTCCTGCCATCTTATGACACATTCAAGGTCCTCACCTGATAGAGCCAGCTGATCTTGGGGCTGCCAGCCTCCAGAACCCTGAATGAAATGGACGTCTTTTCTTTATAAATTACAGCAACAGAAAACAGACTAAGACATGTGGTGACTGACTTTAACAGATGTGTTGCACTCCAAGGTTTATGGGCAGGCTGGGTAGGCCAGCAGGTTAGCCTCAAATAAATAAGTAGGAAAAGTTACCCCCTAGAGCACTTCAGGGGATTTCACAGCTGTTTCAAGTTTCAGTTCCTTAATTAACTGTTCAATAATTCTCTTAACTGGGGCCATGACCTGCTTTTCTGTCTGGCTCCGATTCTTACTCTTGGAGTTCCCATGGCTGATCCTTTACGGACAGAGCCTGGAGCAAACACCATAACCAGCTGCTCACTGTGCAACCTGGGGCCCATGGCCCAGCAGTACTTTCACTCCCCCAACCAAGCACCTCACAACACACGTCTCACCCATCCTGCTGAATCTGGCTTATATTTCTCTTGAGAAAACCAGGATATTCCAACTTGACAGTACCTCCTCTGTGCCAGGAGCTATGCAAGGCACACAGGATACAGTAATTAATAAGGCAGATAATGACTTGTCCTGATGAAGCTCATAGTCTACTAGAGAATCATTTATCCAGCTTTCCCTTCCTGGGGAGGGGGCCATGAAACCATGGTTTCTCTGTCTCTGGTATTTCCTTTCAGCCTGCTACCACCCAGAAATTATTTAGCTCCCACTCAACTGGCATTTCCTAGGTAATGCCTAGGACTTTACTTATTTGGCATATCCTGTTTCACAGGGATTTGGGAGGGAGGAGATGTACCCAGTTGGGCTCGGTGGACCATCTTGAACTCACCACCTTTCCTTCTCCGTCAAGAGGAAGAGAGCTGCCTGGGGATGCTCAGGTGTACTGTGTGATTCTGCGAGTACTGCATGTCACTTCCACACCACAAAGGAAGCCTTTGTGTGCAGTTATGTTTTTAAAGATTTATTTATTTATTTGAAAGTCAGAGTTACACAGAGAGAGAAGGAGAGGAGAGGAGAGGAGAGGAGAGGAGAGGAGAGGAGAGGAGAGGAGAGGAGAGGAGAGGAGAGGAGAGGAGAGGGGAGGGGAGGAGAGGAGAGGGGAGGGGAGGGGAAGGGAGGGGAGGGGAGGGGAGGGGAGGGGAGGGGAGGGGAGGAGAGGAGAGGAGAGGAGGCTGGAGCTGTGCTGGTCCAAAGCCAGAAGCCAGGAGCTTCTTCCAGGTCTTCCATGTGAGTGCACGGGCCTAAGGTCTTGGGCCATCTTCTACTGCTCTCCCAGGCCATAGCAGAGAGCTGGATCAGAAGTGGAGCAGCCAGGACTTGAACCGGCACCCACATGGGATGCCAGCACTGCAGGCGGCGGCTTTACCTGCTACGCTACAGTGCCGGCCTCTTGTGTACCTCTTTCATTGTTTCTGGCTCTGAAATTGGAGATTCTTTGGAGTCTGGGGGAAGAAACCTCAGAGAGCAAGCTTAGGGGTGGGGTGAAGCAGCTCATCATCCCGCTTCATTTTGCTAATTCTGACATCCTTCGTGATTACCTTAGTAACAAGGCTGTGAAAATACGATTGGGGCGCAGGTGTTTGGCACAGATGTTCAGATGCCACCTGCGATGCCCACATCCCATATCAGAGTGTCTGGTTCAAGTTTCAGCTCTGCTTCCGACTCCCACTTCCTGCCAGTTTGCACCATGGGAGGTAGTAGGTGATGGCTCAAGTACTTAAGTCCCAGCTGCCTATGTGGGAAACCAGGATTGAATTTCCTGCTCCTGGCTTCTGTCTGGTCCAGCCCTGGATGTTGTGGACATTTGGGAAATGTGCCTGTGTCTTTCTGTTTCTCTGGCTCTCTGCCTTTCAAATAAATAAAAATACATTTTTGAAAATATGGCTGGGAAGGTGCCCCTTGGGAGCACCTGAATGGAAAGACGTCTGACTCCCTCGCTGTCTCCCGTACAACCTAACCACAACTCCCCAAGCTATGCCTCTACAGAAGGAGCTTTGCTGACTGTCTAATACCTTTTTACTCACTCCCTCACATCTGGAGACCCAACAGAGGATCTTTGTTCTTTTTCATTGCTCCCATGGCCTTGACAGAAAACCCTGCTTTCAGGATCGAGACCTATTCTTGTTGACCTTTATGGGTGAGTCCCCTCTCCCCATAGATTTCAGTAAATCCTTTTATGAGAGCCAGACTGAGTGAAGCCTACCATCCCAGTGGTAAGGTAAGGACAGACACCTTGCTAGGTGACTTGTGTAGCTACCCTTGGGCAAACACTGACTTGAATGTTAAGCAGTTTATTTTCTGGTGGGGTGGGAGAAAGATCCAAGAAAGCCAATTCGCAGTTTCAAAAAAATACAGACACTATTTGTGTACTTTTCTTTAGATGCTTACCTTTTTTTTTTTTTTTGCTAACCATATGATTCCATTTATATAAAGTTCATGAAAAGGTAAAACAAACTCATTGATGGAAATCAGGACACTGACTGCCTTTCAGGGACCAGTGGGGGACACTTGACAGAACAGTGGCTTAAGGGAAGCTTCCATCATGGTAGAAACCCATATCTTATTTTTTAAACAATAAATTTTAGGGGGTATCATTGTGGCACAGCGCATTAAGCTTCCACTTGTGACACCAGCATTGAGTCCCAGCTGCTCTGCTTCCAATCCAACTCCCTGCTAATGTGCCTGGGAGTGCAGCAGGTAATGGCCCAAGTACTTAGACCTCTGCCACCCACTTGGGAGACCTGAATTGAGTTTCCAGCTCCTGGCTTTGGCCTGGCCCAGCACTGGCTGATACAGCCATTTGTGGAGTGAACCATTGAAAGGAAGATCTCTCTTTCTCTCTCTCTCTCTTTTTTTTGACAGGCAGAGTGGATAGTGAGAGAGAGAGACAGAGAGAAAGGTCTTCCTTTGCCGTTGGTTCACCCTCCAATGGCCGCCGCGGCCAGTGCGCTGCAGCCGGCGCACCGCGCTGATCCAATGGCAGGAGCCAGGTACTTCTCCTGGTCTCCCATGGGGTGCAGGGCCCAAGCACTTGGGCCATCCTCCACTGCACTCCCTGGCCACAGCAGAGAGCTGGCCTGGAAGAGGGGCAACTGGGACAGAATCCGGTGCCCCAACCGGGACTAGAACCTGGTGTGCCGGCGCTGCAAGGCAGAGGATTAGCCTAGTGAGCCGCGGCACCAGCCCTCTCTTTTTTTGTCTCTCTCTGTATACCCCTCTCTCTGTCACTGTTCTTTTCCAATAAATAAATAAATCTCTTAAAATTAATGAATTTTTAAAATCAATATGATAATTACCCTGATTTGATCATTACACAATGCATACATGTATGGAAACATCACATTGGGCCAAGTAAATATGTATAATTATTAGATGGTTATCATTTTTAATCAAATAGCTTCATGGTCAACCACTAAAACCTCTGTGACCACACCAAAGTGACAAAGTCAATCAACCCTCCCTTGGCCCATCTGCCCTAAAGGAACAAAGATCTTGTCTTCTGGGGATGATTTCGTGAATCCCAAGTCATCCTGGCAAGGAGGCCACTAGAGAGGACTCAGAGGGCACTTTTTTGGCAGCAGCAGTATTTCTGTGGCTGATCTCTTTTAACACACAAAAGCTCATGGCTAATAGATGTGTCAGAGCTTTCTGGAAGCACGTCCTGCCATATGTGTGTTCTGCAGCTCTCACAAAAAAAAAGAAAAGAAAAGAAAATAAGAGAAGAAAAGAAAAGAAAATCAGTCTTATGTGGCTTCCAAGAAAAAGGTTTTTTTTTCTCCTTTTTGTTTGTCACTCATCTGAATCTCAGAATCAGCCAGGAGCAGGGGAGCAGATGACTTTTGAAAGAATTGTCGCCCTCTTCCCACATATTCAGACACCAGCATGTGCAGAAGAGAAAGTACTGTTTGTCTTACTGGGTCACAGTTGGGACCTTTCACTGAACTGGAGTATCCTGTGTTGTAGCCAATATTATGACGTCAAGTTGCCCCCAGTGATAAGCCTCAAAAACTGGATTGACAGAACTCTGCTCTGGTAGAATAGAGATTATCCCAGAAAGATAAGAAACCACTGTACCCCACACGAAAGATGTGAGTGATTTAAAAATACATACTCCTATATAACAGATGCATGTAAGTAGTATCCATGTATGCACACACATACATGCACACACATGCACACACATACTCTCAAACACACACCATGCCTAATGCAGAGGTTGTAGATAGAGGCTCGTTGCTCAGCTACATCATGAGTGTAATGTCTATTTATACTCCTTCCTGCTTGGCTGGGTAAGTCTCATTTGTCTTCTTAACCATCTTGAAAACAGATTTGGCCTCTTTCTGAGTTAAAGTTTTTGAACTTTTTAGTACCTCCGTATAAATCAACTGACCAACTTCCAAAGACAGTTTCATCTTCGGGGGGAAGGAAAAGGAATACACAGAAACGTGGGGAGGCCGGGAGGGTTTCCCGGGGCCTGTGGCTCAGCGTTAGCTCAGTTCTGAGAATGCACATTTAGGAAACAAGCAATGCGCCAGATGGGCCACTGTGGCTTCCTCTTCTTTCTCCTGTTTTCTTGAGGTCCACTGTCTTTGGAATGAACATCTGCCTGTCTCAGGGGACTGTGAAATGAGCAAAAACAGAGCCATAGTGACAACAGGAGGAGATTTGGAGTTAATACGTCTTTGGAGCCAAAACATTCAGCTTCATTAAGCATAATCTGATTAACACTGGATGTAATTTAATGAGGATGTGGACAAAGGAGGGAAAAAATAAAGTTCCTCATTGTGAAGGAAAGATCACTCCATGTTAGACTCTGGAACTAAGATTATGAGGGAAACTTTGGAAACTTGTATGAGCCAAGGAGATTTCTTAGATTTGTCTTCTATTTCCACACACAGACTTACTCAGTGATATAAAACAACTATGGAATTTAATGCAAACTGCTACATTTGGCTTCTACTGAAAAACAAGTTCAAGTCCTACACTCTTTCTAAGATTTTATTTATTTATCTGAGAGGTAGAGTTATAGAGAATGAGAGGGAAATTCAGAGAAAGGTCTTCCATCTGCTGGTTCATTCCCCAAATGGCTGCAACAGCCTGAGCTGAGCTGATCTGAAACCAGGAACCAGGAGGTTCCTCCATGTTTCCCACGCAGGTACAAGAACCCAAGCATTTGGGCCATCCTCTACTGCTTTCCCAGGCCATAGCAGAGAGCTGGATTGAAGAGGAGCAGCTGGGACTTGAACCGGTGCCCATAAGGGATGACGGCACAGGAGGTGAAGGATTAATCCACTGTACCACAATGCCAGCCCCCAAATCCTACACTCTTGACATATAAAATATGAGGTCTGATTACAAGCTAAATATAAAAAATTTCCTCTTCCTCCTCCTCCTTCTTCCTTCTGCTTCTCCTTTTTTTAAAAAATTTATCCTGTAAATATTTATTGGGAGCTTAATAGGTACCAGCTACTTTGCCAGGCACTGAGAATTCAAAGACAAGTAAGACTCAGTCCGGCCATGGCCTCGAGGAGGAAGGGGAAGTCAGACAAGGACTCATATAAGGTCATTGAAGACCAAGTTCCAGGAAAGGACTCTTGCAGACTTTTCCATAGATTTGAGAGTTGGGGTTCCCCAAGAGAGTGATCCAAGAGACACAGCAAGCGAGACGGAAGCTACAGTCTTTTATAACTTGTCTCAGAAGTGGCATACTGTCACATGTGCCGTATTCTGTTGCTCTTACATGGCAGCTCTGGAGCAATGTGGGCGGGACCAACACAGAGAATGAGTGCCAGGATTGACGGCTCGCTGGGATCCATCTGGGAGACTGGTAACCACGGTTCTCTAGAGACAGACAGAGGCCAGGAGTTGAATAAGACAGTACCGATTTTTTATTAATGGAGCCACCACCCAAGAACCTCATTTCAAGTTTAAATTGAAAACTAACAGAAGCCTGTGGTTTAGGTTTCGAGACCTATGCAGAACCTGCTATTCCTTCCCAAAATTGTATCTTGGAGTTTTACAAGAATGTGTGGAGGCAAGGTGACAAAGTGACAGAGAACATGTGATTTATTTTTCAATAGATACTTGCTTGGAGGAGGTGGATAGTAAGAGAGAAGGCTAAGTCTGTTTGTTTGTCCAACTGCTGCCAACAGGAAAGAAAGCCAACCATTTCTAGGTATGGCAACCCGCCTGCTAATTACAAGTTTCTATCTCTAGTGACCAATCAGATCAGCAACTCCTTTGACCTTGGCGTCAGGGTAGGAAGGCTAGGAGGAGGTAAGAAATCATTAAAAATTCCTTTCTCCTGTACAGAGCCTCTGATCACTCGCGTATTCAGAGGAGGAAGTGGGAGCTACAGAGTGGTCAACTGAAGTTTAGCGAGGCCTGTTTCCAAGAAGCCAGGAATGAAAATCCCAACTTTGAAATTCAGCCACAGTGGTCACATCAGGTCAAAGACACACAATTGCCGCTGAACTTGTGATGAACTCCAAATTTATTTTCTAGGCATTTCTTCTATGCCACAGGCATGTAGATCATAAATTAATATAACTAAAGATACACACTGAAGGAAAAGACACATGAGAAGGAAGTTGGAGTCGTTTATTGCTGCCTGCTCTTCGCAGAGGTAAGAAAACACACTACTAGTTAATGGTTGGGAATGGAGCCAAGGTCATTTTTACCCCAGTTTGGTGCTTTTTTGTCTGCGGTACTGGGATGGGTTACTAAATATAATTATTTTTCTTTAATGAAAATACTCGAGTTTGGGAACTTTTTAAAAGAAAAAGTTTGTTTAGCTCGCAGATCTGGAGGTTGCAGGACATGCCTCTGGCGCTGGCTCGGGTTTGGGAATGGTCTCAGGCAGAGGGCGCACGAGGGCAGGGGTGTGTCCTGGAGCGAGACAGACACCGGCCCGTGACTCGGGGGTCTGGCTCACCCCGCAACAGTTCACTCTCTGGAGAACTAACCCAGGGTCCCCTAAAACTACCTGAATCCCTTCTGAGGGGAGTGCTTCTAATCACCTAAGAACCTCCACTAAGTTCCACCACTGAGAAGCCCAAATAAATTTTATTTTTAAAAGAGGGGGTGCTGTGGTGTAGTGGGTAAAGCTGCCGCCTGTAGTGCCAGCATCTCATGTGGGCACCGGTTTGAGTCTTGGCTGCTCAACTTCTGATCCAGCTCTCTGCTATGGCCTGGGAAAACAGTAGAAGATGGCCCAAGCCCTTGGGCCCCTGCATCCATGTGTGAGACCCAGAAGAAGCTCCTGGCTCCTGCCTTTGAATCGGCACAGCTCCAGCCATTGCAGCCAACTGGGGAGTGAACCAGCAGATGGAAGACCTCTCTCTCTCTCTCTCTCTCTCTCTCTCTCTCTCTCTCTCTGCCTCTCCTTCTCTCTGTGTGTAACTCTGACTTTCAAGTAAAATTAAATAAATCTTAAAAAAAAAAAAAAAAAAAGAGGTGGTGGTGTTGGGGAGGGAATTTGGTGCAGCAGTAAAGACACTCAGAATGCCACATCCCTTACCAGATACCTGGGTCCAAGGCTCGGGTCCACTTCCTATTCCAGCTTTCTGCTATCATGCATCCTTGGAGGTAGCAGGTGATTCCACCCATGTGGGAGAGCTGGACTGAGTTGAGTTCCAAGTTCCTGGCTTCTACCTGGACCAGCTCTCACTGTTGTGGCCATGTAGAGTGAGCTAGTAGGTGGAATCTCTCTCTCTCTCTTTCTCTCTCTCTTTCTATTTCAAACACATAAAACAAATGAATTTAAGACATTTTGCTAAACAAAAAATTCCAGCCATCTCCCATCAAGTGCGCACTGAGGACCAAGTTTCCAACATGTGAAACTTTGAAGGACACCCTTAAACCACATCCAAACCAGAGCCCTGAGTGCGTGCTCACTCTGAGAGCCCGTGGAATCTTCCTCTTGCCCATCTGCATGATAGGCTGAAGCGTGTGACCAAAAGACCACCAGTCTTAGAGCCAGTAGCTCCAGGTGAAGCTCCAGCTCCATCCTGCCTAAGCTTTTGTCATCTGGGCACACGGGCCTCAGTTTCTTCTTCTGAAGAATGGGTGTAGTAATATTTACCAACTCATCAAGATGCTTGTAAGGATAAAAGGAGAGTCTAGCTGTAAAAGATCTTGTAGAATCCAAGATGTTGGGCGAAGTTAAAAAGGCAGTCTTCAGAAATCTGACTCAGTAAGACACCCAACTGCCAAGCTAAGATCGCTGTGCCCCTAGCTTTTTACCTTTTACTTCCAGCTAGTAAGATTGTGTTTCACTTGCTGGTAGTCCAGCTGAATCCCTGACCCCAGTCAGTGTCTCTGTTTTCTTTGTGGGGCGAGGCTGCCGTGTACCCTTATGACCGCAAAAGGAGCAGATTCTGTGAATGCTACTTCAGAGGAAAGAAGGAAACAGTTCAATCATCTCACAGGAGTCTTCCAGGATTGGGCCCCTGGGTGAGTATGTGGACAAGTAGAGTGTCTGTTAACTGCTCTGTTAACAAGGGAGATTTATGATCATAGCAAATCACTTCAGCCTGCAGAGGTTCCATAAAGACTATTATACAGTCATGGGTATAATTAATAGCAGAACTGTTTGGGAAGGACATTAACATGCATTCAGTGCCTCCAACACTCAAGACAGAGCAAGGTGTGAGGTTGGTGACATTGCTATTATGCAGAAGAGAAAGCTTGGAGACCACTGAAGTGATAAGGAGCTTATAAAGAGTTAGATTGGAATCCAGATCTTTGTACTTTCTGTAGTCTCAGGCCAGACAGGATCCAATGCATTTTGAATCTGATCATTTGCTTATTTTTTTTTAAATGAGAGAAAATTTAAGGGGAAATACAGTTTAGAAAATAGCTTAAACAATTGTCCAGAGCTTAACCAAGGCTCAGAGTTTGGAAACTTGTGGCCTGGGGGTGGGGGTGGGGATGGGAAATGGGGTCAGAGATAGAGGTCAAAATGTTGATTAAAAATGAAAAAGCCGGCGCCGCGGCTCAGTAGGCTAATCCTCCGCCTTGTGGCGCCTGCACACCGGGTTCTAGTCCCGGTCGGGGCACCGGATTCTGTCCCAGTTGCCCCTCTTCCAGGCCAGCTCTCTGCTGTGGCCAGGGAGTGCAGTGGAGGATGGCCCAAGTGCTTGGGCCCTGCACCCCATAGGAGACCAGGAGAAGCACCTGGCTCCTGCCATCGGATCAGCGCGGTGTGCCGGCCGCAGCGCGCTGGCCGTGGCGGCCATTGGAGGGTGAACCAACGGCAAAGGAAGACCTTTCTCTCTGTCTCTCTCTCTCACTGTCCACTCTGCCTGTCAAAAATAAATAAATAAATAAAAATAAAAATAAAAATGAAAAATAGGGAAAAGACATCATGGCACAGTGTGTTAAGCTGATGCCTACAGTGCTGGCATCTCATATTAGTGCTGGTTTGAGTCCCAGCTGCTCAGCTTCTGATCCAGCTCCCTGCTAATGCATCTGGGAAAGCAGTGGAGGATGGCATAAGTACTTGGGTCCCTGCCACCCACATAAGAGACCTGGTTGGAGGTCTGGGCTCCTGGCTTTGGCCTAGTCCAACCCTGGACATTGCAGCCATTTGGGGCCAGTGAATGGAAGATATCTTTCTTTCTTGGTGTCTCCCTCTCTCTGAGTAATTCTGCCTTTCAAATAGATAAATAAATCTTAAAAAGAGAAAGAAAACTCTCCTATTTCTTCTACCTGTTGATACCAACCACAAGCACTTTTAATGATTGTGGGGAGCAACTGGGAGCAACTCGGACTAGACTAAGTTACTGGAATTAAGACTTATTCTATGCATCTACTTTTTCTATGCATCTGCTCTCCCACAATATGGCGCTGGGAGAGGAGGAAACAGCTTCTACACAGCTGCCTCCAGTTCAACCAATAAACTGTAGGACCTGCTCCTGATTGGAGGAGAGCAGCGTACTCGGCGTATGGGTAGCAGAGTTGGGATTGGTGGAAGAGGACTATAAAGGAGGAGAGAGACAACATGCACCAGGAACATCTACCTGAAGGAACACCTGTGCAGCCCCCGAGAGAGCCGGCCGGCGGTGTGCCGCTCCCCCGCGGAAGTGGGGAAAGTGGCAGGGGGGAACCACGGAGGTGGGAGGGTCGGTAGCCAACCCGGGAAGAACCAGCAGCAAACCCGGGAAGGGCCGAGCAGACAAAAGAACAGTGCAGGGTTTAGTGTCGTTCCTCCACGAAGAGGGGGAGCGACAATTGATAATCCTTTTTCAGACATTTCCATCAGGAGGCAACCTGAAGGCCAAGGCCATTAGCAAGTTTGGAGGGTAAAGAACACAACAAAATACAGAGGGCCTAAAATAAGAGTTTGAAGCCATGTCAGTTTGGCAAGAAGAAATTAAGTGAAACTCAGAAAGTTCTCAAATATAGAGAGATTTTGCTTCGCACCTTCTACAAATTCCAAAATATGGAATCTCCTACGAAGGTAAGGAATTAGCAAATTGCCAGAGCGTTAATGATCAGTGCTCGGTACTGTTAGAGCAGTCTGACTTGTGCATCTGACTGGAATACTTTGCTTAGCAAGCATTGCCTTTCCTGGTAGTGATTCTTCATGTTTCTGCTAAAAAGCAACTCAGACTTTTGGTGGTCTGAGCCCTCTAGTCAGAAAAATAAAAAATATCTGAACTATTGGGCACTGCACTCAGTATTTAGTGTATTCTCAATAAATGAAAATTATAATTACTATATTGTTGTTTTCAGTGGCTAACCTTTTAGATTTTCAAAAAATATGCATTTATTTATTTGAAAGGCGGAGTGACAGAGAAGGAGAGACAGAGGTTCTCCATCTGCTGGTTCACTCCCCAGATGGCTACAATGACTGAGGCTGGGCCAGGCCGAAGCCAGGAGCCTGGAGCTCCATCCGGGTCTCCCACACAGTGGCAGGAGCTGATACTTCCTTTCCCAGGTGCATTAGCAGGGAGCTGGAGCTGAAACAGAGCAGCCAGGACTCAAAGAGGTGGTGGCTTAACCCACTGCACTACTACACTGGCCTCACATTGAGAATTTTTGAGACAAGCAAGAAATTTGGGCTTTTAAAAATAGGCTAAAATGTGGGTTTTTATGAGAATGTCACAGTTTCCAACTGTTGGCAAGTAATTACAAAACAGAAAGAAAACAACTTTGTGTGAGCTAAACAAGACGCCCTCCAGCAGTGAGTTTGGGAGCCTTGGCAGGGGTCGGAGGAGGGACTGGGCTGGACGGGCCTGGAAGGGGAGGGGCAGGAGGCTGTGTAGTTTCCAGAGGGGAGGAGACCCAGGGCCAGAGCTGAGCCTGGGACCCTGTGCTGGGGTCTGGGGGTTCTGGCACTTGGTGGAGCCTGGACCCTGCCAACTGCTGTGGCACAGATGCATGTTTCTGGGGTGGTGGACACAGCTTCTTCCCTGATCTGCCCAGGTGGTGCCAGGATCCAGAACCCAAACACTTCTGAACCTGGGGCTTGCCCAGTTGCACCAGATCGGGCTTCTGCCTGGATAAGGTTTTGCTTTTCATGGATTTTTTTTCCCCATTATTTTGGATTGTTGAAAAGATCGCATTCTACTACTCCTTGTTTTAATTACTGAGTGTTTTGGTGTCCCCTGAAATTTTGTGCCTCCCTTGCTCACCCTAGTCCCTGCCTGAAATCCCAGCCTCGGGGTGGGTTTGTGGAGGATGGAGCAGGTGGGGGCTGGGCAATGCAGACCGACTTTTGTGGCCAAAGCAAACAGTTTCTAAGACGCAAATCTACAAGGGGAGGAGGAACACATTCCAAAGGCAAACAGAAATTATTTCCAGCATATTTATTCTCTCGGGTCCTCGGCGCTTCTTTTTCTCTGCTTTCCTTAAATAAGGAAGTGCACGGAGTGGCTTCCAGGAGAGCCAGCGTCCCACGGCGCCCCCAGCTTAGACCCTTCCCTCTTTGTTTCCTTACAGAGACTCCACGGGCAGTGCCTCAGCCATTCGAGGAGAAACCGTCTTCCCTGGAGTGTCTTTTGTCCCCGGCTTCCCTGGGTTTCTAGCACTGGGTGTGGGACTGCCCGTGGGGGCTTGCAGGGCAGGCCAGGACCGCAGGGTGTGTGGCGAAGCCACAGTGACAGCTGCATCTGTGCTCCCGCAGTGGGTACCTGCTCGCTGTGCTCGGCCCCTCCATGAGGAAGCACTTCATCCGCTCCCAGAAATCCCGCGTGCCTGTGACCTGCACGGCAAGGCCTGGAAGTTTGGCAGAATCGATAGGACTTCTCGCTGGGCTCGGCTACTTCAAATGAGGAAAAATAAGGTCTGTAGACAGAACTTCTGTGTGCTCTCCACCCAATCTTAGAAATCAAACACAGTCAACATGTGATCAGAGTCCTCCCGTACAACTGAAGCGTTCACCGTCAGAACGGCTATGTAAATAGTGTCATGTTCTAGAATACTCTACAGCAGGAAAAACAAATGAGTCAGGGCTACGTGTGTCAGCGCAGATACAGAGCAAACACATGATTGAGTCTTTCCGAGGTTGTTTCCAGGGAAACCAGCACGGACTTGCTCCCCGAGGATCCTCAGTTTAGGACAGGAGCTGAGTGTCCCACTGTCCTCCGCCTTTTCTCTACCCTTCTTCCCCCTTCCTCCTCCTCTCTTCCCTCCTCCTGTGTTAGTTTGTATTCATCCCTGCCTCTCCCCTCCTCCTCCCCCTCCCCCTCTCCCTCCCCCTCTCCCTCCCCTCTCCCTCCCCTCTACCCAGTTCCTTGGAGAAATCTTGGGAGGGCCAGAGTCTGCAGGAAGGTGTGCATGTGGGGGTGGTTCACAGCCAGCTTGTACCGTACTACACTAGGGGCTGTGTACCCATCGATCCTGGTCAGTCCATTAGTGTCCCCATTTGAAGGCTGAGAAAGTAAGGCTCAGAGAGAGCTTACCAAAGGGACTAAGGCTCTGCATGCTTAAATGCAAGTTCAATCCCAGAATCCTGGCTCCTCCCCCTCCTCCAGAATGCAGCCTGGCTCTTGCCCCACCCCTGTCTCTTCTCCACGAATGCCCCATTTCGCCCACTACTGTAATTGCTAGCATTATTGTTATCCTTTCTGTTACACGTTTCCAGGATGCCAAGGGTTATGGCTTGTGATACGCTCCCATCAACAAGCTCTTTGGTCCTAACAACTGTGTGGTCCTGAGCCCCACGACAGAGGAGAAGCAGAGCTCGGAGCAGGGGCTGCTCTCAAGTCTCTGAGTGCAGTGCCCACCCTGTGGAGACCTTCCAAAGTCAGAGTCAGGTGGGTGTGGATCAGTGGGGACACACACTGCTTGTGAAACCAGATCCTAATTTCAAACATTCATTGTTTATTTATCATGGATTTTTGGCATTAGTTTTCATTTACAAAAGCCATGGCATTGCATGAAAATATTACAATAAGTGAGTTTATTGGGTGCCCTTAAAATCTGCACTACAGACAGTGGCTCAGGGGTCTCCTCCCATCCCATCCCTGCCTCTGTCTTTGACACCACGGCTGCTCCTCTGCCTGCCTGCCTGCTTGCCTGCTCTCATTCTTTTCTGGTCTTGGATTGGTTCAGAGGCTCACTCCCCCCAGGCCCCTCCCTGGAAGGTTGCCTGAGCCAAATGATCCAGCAGGAACAGGTGAGTACCTTGGGTGGGATGCAGGCAGGACGAGAAGGCCAGCTGCCTCCCATGGGGCCCTGCGGTGAGCTGGCTGATGCCGGTGCTCCAGCCGAGTGAGCAGAATGAAGCCTTTTTCTGGGAAGGGACTACAGAGGAATGAACTCCCGTGGATACCTCCTCAGTGGCCTTTGGGGAAATAGAAGGAACAGCTCGATCGAGCTTTTTCCTAGAAAAGCCCTTCGATAGACTGTTATGGAAAGTGAAGCTGTTTTTGTTTTCTTTGATTAATCACAGTGTCCTGTTTCCCAAAGCAAATGTGGCCTTGGACCTTCCGGGACACAGGCTAGGCTGTGAAGGAAGGGTGGCAGCTGCCTGGGGCATGACCAGGTCCCCAAAGCTGGGTGGGACACGGGTGGCCCTGTCTTCACCGACGTAGCCCTTCCCTTTTCGCCTTCAGGGGCAACTCAGGTTACCATTTCCTTTGTGTTTCTCTGCCAGTGCACACAGAAATGTTAGCCTTTAAAGATTTCTGTACAGTTCCTTGAAAGCTGGAGGGATGAAGTCAGCCAGGGAATTATATACCAGCAAACTCATTTAAAGCAACAGTGTCTCTCAAGAGGACTGTGGCGTTTCATGGTCACTTTTTCTTACTGAATATTCTGGTGGGGAAATAGAGGATATCCCATCCTGCTACTTTTTGGTCTTTTGCAGGAGAGATCCAATTCCTAGGGGGTTAACAACAAAAAAAAAATCAGAACTGCTTTCAAGGAAGACAAAGGAAAATCGTGTCCATTACCTTCAAGCAGCCACAGCAGTTTTTCTGTTCGCATGCAGAGGGAGAGAGGCGAAAAAGCGGAGAAAAGCTTTCTAAAACACACTTTAGTTTTCAGTCTTGGGCAATTTTATAAATATCCAGCTAACCTCCCTTTTCAAAGGGAACCTTGCCTTTTCACATGAGAGATAATCCACTATGTTGTTTTATCTGGAGTTAAAGACTTCTCAGGGCATAGTACATGCATTATCTTACTTGGTCTCCCCATGCCTGTGACTTGAATCCTCTTTCTTTCCATTTCAGAGGTGGGGAAACTGAGGCCCACGGTGACGTACCGTGCACCCCAGCTCCCCTGGAAAGAAAGACTGAGCTGGCATCGTCCTCTCCCTAACATCACCCCAGAGCCCATCTCTCTTCCTCTGCACCAGCGACTCTCAACCAAGGACCCTCTGGTCTTCCAGGGGGGTGTTTGGTACCATCTGGGGCATTTGGGGCTGTCACAGTGCAAGTGTGAGTGTGAGTGTGTGTGCACTCGTACAGAGGGGTGCTAGTGGCATTTAGCGGGTGGAGGCTAGGCACACTGCTAAATGCCACCCCCCCCCCAAAGCAACAGACAGCCCTGAACAAAGCAGCATCGCACCGGAGCGGCAGGAGGACTGAGGTTTGAAAAGTCCTGGTTGTTGCTCAGCATCAGAGGGAAATTCCATCCTCCAGCTGTTGCCAAGAGCTCCTCTGCCCAGCAACAGGCTTGGCCGCTCTCCCGGGGCGGCCACGAGAGTTAAGCCGCCGTCTCAGTGGCCAGGCATCCCTGCAGAGTTTACTGTGGGCCACACCATGCATCCGCCGGGGGCCGATGTGTTGTATAATTTATAGTCACAGGGTGCCTGTCTTCATTTAGCAGCAAGCCTGCTGGCAGGAAGCTAGTTCCGCAGAGGCCCGCAGCCCCCGCCGGCTGACAGCCGAGGTATTTGGGGATGGCGTGGCTCAGAGGCACCTGGGAACAGGCCGGGGGCCGAGATGGCGCTGGGCACGCGGCCTCCGCTTCAGACCCATCCGTCTGCCAGAAGATGGCCTATTGAACATTTCCAGGAATAGCACTGCCAACCCCGTCAACTGCTTTCTTGGAAATGCACTCAATAAGCATGGCCGGCCTCCAGCAGGCAGAGCAGAAATCACGGCCTGGAAGCGCCGGTGCAGGCCTGGGGCGCCAGGGCCCAGCTCCCAGGCCTGTGTCCCCGGCTGCCACTTGGAGATGTTCTCGGTGAGGAAGGGGAGGCCCTGGCCCCTTGACCTTCACACACTAGCCCTGTCCGCTCAGATGCCAGCAGGCAGCAGGGCGGCCTTGGTTTGGGTGCCAGGTATGAACTGTCAGCAGTGGGACACCTCGGTGTCCCCTGGGGGATTGGAATCGCTCCTTCTCTTGTGAGTTTCCTTCCCTCTGGAACCAAAGGAGCCTCAGAAAGGACAGGGAGGGTGTTCTTCTCCCCCCACCCCCAGTCATTGTGAGGACGTAGCAAATGCGAAGCGAAGCTATGATATGGAAGAAAGCTCTAAGGTCTAATTCATCCTCCCCGTGCCCTGTCGCCAGAGTGCCAGCGGCCTTCGCAGAAAGCCTCCCTCAGGAGGTAGGCATTAGGCAAAAGCAGGAGACCCAAACCCCCTGCTGTGTGGGGTGTTCAGGAAGTGCAGTTCGTCATGGTCTGAAAGCCCGCCAGTCACCACGTGTAGCTCGGAGCAACACCTAATCCAGGAAGAACCTGCAGCCAAGGGAGGAGGAGGAGGAGAGGGGGAGGGGGGAGGAGGGAAAAGAGAGAAAGAGAAAACGGAGAAGAGCAAATCTCAGGGAAAGGGAAAGAGCAGGAGAGAGAGGAGCATGTTTCTTATGTTTTTATTTGTTTATTTACTTTTACCTATCTGAAAGAGATCTCCCATCTACCGGTTCACTCCCCAAATGCCCATGGCAGTCAGAGTGGTGGAAGGCCAAAGCCAGGAGCCAGGAACTCAGTCCAGGTCTCCCACATGGGTAACAAGAGCCCAGGGACTTGAGCCATCGTGGGCTGCCTGCCGGGGCGTACGGAGGCTGGGAGCTGGGGTGAGGAGTGGAGCCGGGACTGAGCCCAGGGCATCCAGACACGGGGTGCAGGTGTCTCGAGCTGCGGCCTAACTGCGGCAGCAAACACCCAGCCCAGGAGCACTTCTAAAGGACTTGGTAAGTCATGGCTGCTTCCTTGCAAACACTGCTTAGTCGGAGGACTGACCACCCTTCCTGGGTCTTCTGTCTGGTGCAAACCACAGTGGGCACCAGGGAGAAACGGGCCCACTTCTCTGGGTCCACTGGAACAGGGTGGTTACATGAAGTTTATAAGAAACTATTGTTTGGTCTGAAATCTGCACTAGTCCCAGCAGACCAAACCAGACCAGAATGGAGTCACTCCTGCACAGTGCAGTCTAATCAGACTGAATTTTAAAATGGGTCAGCCCGGCGCTGTGGCGTAGCGAGTAAAGCCGCCTGCAGTGCCGGCATCCCATATGGGCGCCAATTGGAGTGCCAGCTGCTCCACTTCCAATCCAGCTCTCTGCTATGGCCTGGGGAAGCAGTAGAAGATGGCCCAAGTCCTTGGGCCCCTGCACCACATGGGAGAGCCGGAAGAAGCTCCTGGCTCCTGGCTTCAGATGGGCCCAGCTCCGGCCATTGCGGCCAATTGGGGAGTGAACCAGCGGATGGAAGACCTCTCTCTTTCACTCTCTATCTCTGCCTCTCTGTAATTCTGCCTTTCAAATAAACAAATAAATATTAAAAATAAAATAAAATAAAATGGGCCAGCTTTCAAAAGCCAGGAGATTTATTGCACCCAATAGAAAGAGGCCCTGTCTGGTAAGGAATTCATTGCTCCTGTAGACAAAATAACTTTGAAAGAACCAATCTGCTTCCTATTCCTTGTTCTGCTTTCCTACCTGGGAAGCCCACCCTGCCTGCCCAATTCATGAATTGCAAATAAAAGGCAATTCCATCTTCATACTCAGTTTGTTGAGGGTTTGTTCTTTGACTGGGTGAGACCAAATCTAAGGCAGTATCCAACTGCAGGTCTGAAGGCTCCTTCTACCCACCCCACCTCACTCAAGACACACGTAGCTGTCATCCATGGGTTGTGGATTTTCTTTTTCTTTTCTTTCTTTTTTTTTTTTTTTTTTTTTTTTTTTTGACAGGCAGAGTGGACAGTGAGAGAGAGAGACAGAGAGAAAGGTCTTCCTTTGCCGTTGGTTCACCCTCCAATGGCTGCTGTGGCTGGCGCACCGCGCTGCTCTGAAGGCAGGAGCCAGGTACTTATCCTGGTCTCCTATGGGGTGCAGGGCCCAAGGACTTGGGCCATCCTCCACTGCACTCCCGGGCCACAGCAGAGAGCTGGCCTGGAAGAGGGGCAACTGGGACAGAATCCGTCGCCCTGACCGGGACTAGAACCCGGGGTGCCGGCGCCACAAGGTGGAGGATTAGCCTGTTGAGCCACAGCGCCAGCCTGAATTGCGGATTTTCAAAGAATCGGAATCTAAGCCGTGAAATGGATTTGGCTGCTGTTTTTCTGGGAGATGTTTTGCTGTTGAGGACGATGTAGAAATGCTTCAGTACTCCTTGTGCCTCGGGGTCAATGTGGTGAAAAGCAGGAGTCACTGCCGGATCCGATGTGCAGACAGCAGGACTTTCTTGAACTGTAAACACCCTTGTTCCCTAACAGTGGGAGGTCAGGGTGGCCTAAGCCATGCAGAGCCTTGATAGCCTTCCATGGAGCAGGGTCGGGGGCTGGGTCTCTGGAAGAAAAGCCTGGAGCAGCTAGGCTTGCCGCCACTGTGTGTCCCGAAGAGTTGGTGACCTGGGCTGCAGAGCAGGTCTCCCAAGAAGAGCCTCGTGCAGAGCACAGCAGAAGTTCGAGCTGTCCACCCGGGACACTGCCATCACACTGTGACCCTGACTGTGAAAACTTCAGCTTTGTCTCGAAGGCGGCATCCCTGACTCCGTGGCTCGCTAGCCATGTGACTTTGGGCAAGTTACTTAATTTCTCAATGCACCTGCATCATCTGTGTCCAATTGGGATAAAAATAGGATTCATGGAGTTGCTGGGAGATCTGATGAGTTGCTAAGTGGGAAACACTTAGAAGCACGCCTGGCACGCGGTGACACTGTTTAAACCCTAGCACTATCAGTGTTATTATTCTTCCCATCCTTGTTGCTTCAGTTATTTACAAGATTCTGTGGCTTGAGGAGACATCAACACTGCTTGTGGGAAGACACAGTGAGGGAAGCTGCTCCTTCTGCTCGTGCCTTCCGTTCACAAGTGAACCACCCTGCTTCATTCAGGTGGAAGCAGACCAGGAAATGGGTATCCTGGACAGGGAGTGAGCTGTGGGGAGCCCTGGCCGTGAGGGAATCTGCTGGTCCTTCACATCCTTCAAGGCTCTGCTTGTTGAAGTTAAGTCTCTCAATGAACATCATAATAACAGATAACACGTTCAACCATCACTGCATGTCAGGCATTGGCCCAGCAGTTTCCATATCTTCCTTGACCTTCAGCTAAAATTGTTGCCTTTGTTTTCACCAGAAGGGAATAACTCAGTTCTTCCTGGTCAGTAAGAGGGGAGAGAGCTGAGTTTCAAACCCAGCAGACTAGCAATGCCCTAGCCTGAGCTTGCAGATTCTATGTGGACACTTCTATGTGTTTGTTTCATAGTCTTTGTGGCTCATACATGGGTCATTATCCAGGCAGCATTACAATTTTTTAAATATTTATCTGAGAGGTATATTTGGAGAGAGAGAGAGAGTTCCCATTCACTGGTTCTTGTTCATTCTCCAAGTGCTTGTGATAGTCCCTGACTGGTGACCAGAACCAGAAACTTGAAATCAATCTAGACTTTCCAAATGGGTTGCCAAGACCCAGTCACTTGAGCCATCAGCACTGTCTCCCAGGGCCCCCAGCAGCAGGATACTGGAGTCAGGAGCAGAGCTGGACACTGAACCCAGGATGTGGACATCTTGACTGACATCTCAACTGCCAGGCCAAATGCCCACCCTGCTTTCTGGAATGTTTTCAACCCAAAGTTGGTTGAACTCATGGATATGGAGAGCTGACTGTACCTGTTAAGATTCCTGTGTCCCATGTTGGAATACTTGGATTTGAAACCTGGCTTCACTCTTGACTCCAGCTTCCTGCTAATGCAAACCCTAGGAGGCCACACCGACAGCTCAAGTGATTGGGTTCCTGTTATTCATGTGGGAGATCTGCATTGAGTGAGTCTCTGGCTTCGAAACTGCCTGTCCCAGGGCCATTTTGGGCACTTGGAGGATGAACCAGTGGACAGGAACGCTCTCTCTCTCCCTCTCGCTCTCTGTCAACCTCTCAAATAATGTTAAACAAAGTATTAGAAAATGTTGTATATATACTGAACATGAAAAGACTTTTCTTGTCATCATTCCCATAACTGTCAAACAAGACAGCATAACAACTATTTACATAGCGTTTGTGTTGTATTAGGTATTATAGGGAATCTAGAGATGATGTAAGTATATGGGAGGGTGTGTGTGGGTCAGACGCAAATCCTACAGTATCTTACATAAGGGACTTGAGTGTCTGCAGATTTTATGGTTACCTGTAAACAAGGTACAGGAGCTTCCTTAAATCCTACCACTCATCCTTAAGGAAAGAATTACCCAAGAGATTGCGTTTTTCTGAATTTATTCTCTACCTCTACTTGTTGGTGGTGACTATGAGTCAGGCTATACGGGTGAGACTTGATGATGGTGCGGTAGCCTTGAAATCTCAGTGATTTTTCACAACACAGAGGATTCCTTTTCCCTTGCAGAAGGTCTAGGAAAGTTTTCTGTTTGTTTGTTTACCATATTTTGACTATGGGATCCAGGCTGCCTCTACCCACAGATCATGACAGGCACTGTGAGGTCACCCGCAAAGGAGCTGGGGGTGGTGGAGGAGGCTGCCCTGCCAATTTCAAAGAGGATGCTGGGGAGGGCCTTCTTGAGAATGTGACCTTCGGCAGACGCTGAAAGAATATGCGAGATCTTTGGAGGGGTGGAAAGTCTTCTGTGAACAGGAAGTAGCCTTGTGCAAAGGCCCTGAGGCAGGCGAGTGTCTGGCATGTTGCCGTTCCGTGAAAATGTCAATGTGGGCCTGCGCCGCGGCTCACTAGGCTAATCCTCCGCCTGCGGCGCCGGCATACCGGGTTCTAGTCCTGGTCGGGGCGCCGGATGCTGTCCCGGTTGCCCCTCTTCCAGGCCAGCTCTCTGCTGTGGCCAGGGAGTGCAGTGGAGGATGGCCCAAGTGCTTGGGCCCTGCACCCCATGGGAGACCAGGAAAAGCACCTGGCTCCTGCCATCGGATCAGCGCGGTGCGCCAGCCGCTGGAGGGTGAACCAACGGCAAAGGAAGACCTTTCTCTCTGTCTCTCTCTCTCTCTCTCACTGTCTAACTCTGCCTGTCAAAAAAAAAAAAAATGTCAATGTGGCTGAGAAGGAGGGTGACAGGAGGCGAAATCAGGAAGCAGATAAGTATGGCATGCACGGGCCCTGGAGCGTCCGGTAGCCTGGGCAAGGACTGTGAGTTTTGCCCCAGTTTAAAAACCTTCATTGTGTCCCCCACCTGCCAGCACACTTACCATGCTTCTCTCAGCTCCTCTGCAGCAGTGGATTTCAAACGTGAGCAGCGCCAGAGTCACCAGGCTGTTAAATCCAACTGCTGTGGTTCACTTCCAGAGTTTCCGCACTGGGGCCCATGAATCTGTGATTCTATCAGGATCCTCGGTGCTAGAGTCTGAGTGTTCATGTCCCCCTATCCCCACCCCCAGGATTGAGATGTGGGAACCTAATCCCCTATATGATGGTAGCAGGAGGTGGGCCCTGCTCTCACGAATGGAATCAGTACCCTGCAAAAGAAGTCCCGTGAGGGCTGGCTGCCTTGCCGCCTCCCACCATGTGAATGTGCAGCAAGAACCAGGACGAGGGCCCTCACCGGACACCAAACCTGCTGCTCCTTGATCATAGACTTCCCAGCTTTCAGAACTGTGAACCGTAAGTGACTTTAAGCAGCAGGTCCTTAGATTTTGTTCCAGCAGCCTGAGCGGCCCAGGAAGCAAGTGACGCTGGTGCTCCTGGCATGGAGACCACACTTGGAGAGCCCCTGATGTAGAGACAAGCTACACTTGTGCTTTCCCACTTCCCCAGGAAAACCTGCCCTGGTTCCTGGACAGGGCCACTGGGCCACTGCTATGATTGGGATGCAGTTGGTGCCCCTACAAAGGTGCATGGGCTGGAAGCTTGGTCCCTAGTGGTGGGATCTTTAAAAGATGGAGCCTGGTAAATGATGGGTAGGTCAGGGGGTACCACCCTCAGAAAGGATTAATACTGGCCTTTTGCAGTTAGTGCTTGCAAGCGTCACATGTACACGTGGCTGTTTCATTTCCTGCTTCTCTGTCATTCTGTGATGTGACCAGATGGGGCCTAACCAGAGGCTGGACAGCCGGGACCACCTAATGTTGGACTTTTAGACTCCCAAACTGTGAGCTAGGAGTGGACGTTTGTCACAGTGGCTAAGACATCGCTTAGAATGCCTGCATCCCCCATTGGAGTGCCTGGGTTCGAGTCGCTTCTGACTCCAGCTTCCTGCTAATGTGCACCCTGGGAGGCAGCAGCTAATGGCTCAGGCAGTTGGGTCCCTGCCACCTACATGAGAGACTCAGATCAAATGCTGGGCTCCTGGCTTTAGCTTGGCCCAGCTCCAGCTGTTATGGGCACTTGGGGAATGAACCAACAGAGGGAAAATCTCTTTCTGTTTCTGTATCTTTCTATGCCTTTCAAGTAAGTGAAAATAAAATTTAAAAAGTAGCTGGAAACTAAATAAGCCTCCTTTCTTTGTAATATACCCGGTAGCTGATACTCTGTTGCAGCCAGATTCCTAATTTGCAGGGCTTAGTCAAAAGGAAGAGGCAGCTCCTTATTCCAAAAACAGGAGTAAGAGAGTAATTAAAGGGACTAAAATATAAAGATTTTCCTTTTAAAATATTTTATGATTTATTTTCTTACTTAAAAAAAGAGTGATAGTGATATCCATCATCTCGTACAGTGGCCCTTTATTTTTGCAATCAGAATACCTAAAACCTACTCCCACCAAATTTCCAGCCTACAATACAGTCTTAGTTAACTGTGTCTTCATGCTAATGCCTGAAATTCATTAATCCTACACGACTGTAGCTTTGGACTTGTTGACCTACATCTTCCCATTTCCTCTGGAAACCACCTTCTACTCTTCGTTTTCTATGTAGTTGATTCTCTTCTGTTTGCTTCCTGTCTTGTAATAAAGTTTTATTGGAACACATCGACACTCATTTGTTTACATGCTGTCTATGGCTGCTTTCCCACTGCAGTGGCAGGGCTGAGTAGTGGGACAAGGAATGTTTGGCTCACAAAGCCTAAAACGCCTGCTATCAGGCCCTCTACTGAAAGATTGTGGACACTTGGCCCTGGACTCTCAGGTCCTGGACTGTCCTGTCCAGTGCTCTTTTGTGTTCTTGATATCTGGAGCAGTGCCTGGCATATGGAAAATGCTCATCAACACTTGTTGAAAAAAAAAGGTGAATGCATGAGAATTTGGCATTTTTGAAGAACTTATTTAATGGAAAGAAAATCATAGAAATCTTATGTTTGACCTTATTTTTGTGCTGTTTTAGCATAAAACATGTTTAAAATTCCTTACCTTACTAGGAAATTGACTCTCCAAGGAAGCGTGAGGTTTGTATTGTGACTTGGTGCATCTGCTGGCACACTGCCACGCGTCTCAGACTGGAGGAGCACAGGCGCTAAATCTGGGCATTTGCCCTTCAGTAGATGTTTACGGAGCAAAGCATGGGCTTTGTGTGTGTGATGGCAGTGGTTCCACTGTGCCTCACCCAGGAGACCTCTACAGAGTTCATAGGCCAAAGAGAAGAAAACCTTGCAAGTATATAATATGTAAAAATACCGAACTACGTGGTAAAGTTTCAATTGCAGAAGAAAAGTTACTGGAGCAGGTGCTGTGGGCTTTCAGAGCCAGGACAGATTCATTTCAGCTGTGGAATCGGGAAAGGCTGCTTGCCAGTCGTTCTCGGATCTCAGTTCCTACCCTACTGCTTTGCTCTGCGTAGCGAAGACCTGTCCCCTGGCTGCCCTATAGTTGTCTTCTACACTTCACCAGTGGGAGGTTATGGGGGAGAGATTGGAGGGCTGGAAGGCGGGAGGAACCAGGGTATTTCTCCTTCTCTGTGAACCTCAGTTTTCTCACCTGTACAATGGGGGGAAAAAACCTAGTGTATATTTCACAGGGTTTTTATGAGAACTAAATAAGACATGCAATATGTTTAATACAGAACCTGATACAGGAGTATGATAAGCAGTCAAAGGATAGAGCTGTTGTTGCTATTGACCTTGCTCAGGTAAGTGGGAAGAGTGCAGTGATCACTTAGTGATGTCCACTAAGAGTGAAGTTTTGGAGAGTAGTCCCATGTGAGAGAAATATCTACCAACCCTGATATTCTGCAACCGTATTATGGAGACTGAATTGCTAGGACTTGGCAAATGGGTTGACAGACTGTAGCAACAGGTTAGGAGGAATCAAAAAACAGGGTCAATGATACCAAAAGCACAGATAGTCAACACGTGAGAAAGAATAGACTTGGAAGAGATGGTTATGAAGTCATTTTTAGACAATGCTGTTGATCTTTGGGCTGCAAACAAGAAAACACAATGATATACTCAGGACACTTCAGCAAGGAGGGTTTCTGACAGAGATGCACAAATGTGCAGAGAGTTAGCCAAGACAAACATCTCAGCAGCCACACAGCCAGGCCTCATGCGGAACTGGAAAGCTACCCCCAGAAACCATAGCAACTCCAGTTACTGGAGCCTGGTTGCTTCTGAAGAGGAGAAACGATTGTTCTTAGCAACTTTGCCTCACTCAAAAACTTTCTGTTCCCTCTTCTCCCCTCTTCCTGGTTTCTCCCTCCCTGCCTCTGTTTCTGAAGTCTTCTTCTCTGTGTCTTGCATCCAAGATGATCGAACTGGGTGATCAGCCCCCAGTAGGAAGCTTTCCAATGGGATCACGCTCCCAGGTCAGGTCGGACTCCCTAAGAGTTCCCTTAGGTGCAGCCTAGTTGGGTGCCTCTGTCTTGGCACAGCGGTTGTGCTCAGCACAGAAGTCACTGGATGCAGAGTGACAATGCCACCGTTCTCAGAAGGAGCTGTGCCATCAGTTGATTTCATGGTCTGCTGTATTTATGGTGTAACAGAGACACAGTGGGATCTCCACGAAGGTGAAAAGTGAGATAGGGCTTCGATTGGGAGCTCCATGAGGCTAAATAGGTAAGAAGGGGCTGGGAGGGGCTGGCAATGTGGCTCAGCAGGTTAAGCTGCCGCCTGTGATGCTGGGATCCCATGTGGGTGCTGGTTTGGGGCCTGAATGTTCCACTTCCAATCCAGCTCTGTGCTAATGGCCTGGGAAAGCAGCGGAGGATGGCCCAAGGATTTGGGACCCTGTACCCACATGGGAGACCCAGAAGAAAATCCTGGCACCTGGCTTCGGCCCCCAAAAGGAAGAGGTTGTGGTTAAGGGAACATTGAGGATACTGCAGTATTTCTGACATTTTGTATAAATTTGCTGATGCAAGATCCAAACCCTTCCAAGATTTAGGGCAAAGAAGCCAGAGATTATGAGCAGGAAGTTCTTAGAACATACCCGGACGTTAGATGATTTCCACAGGCTATACTGATTTCTTAGGGGTGCAAATTTGAAATTGACTTGGAAGGGTGGGTCTTGTGGTGAGGTTGGAGTCTCCTTACAGCCTGGAGAGAGTGAAATATTCCACAGCTCAGCTAGAGAAATAGGAGCAGCCAGGCCGGCGCCGCAGCTCACTAGGCTAATCCTCCACCTGTGGCGCCGGCACACTGGGTTCTAGTCCCGGTCAGGGCACCGGATTCTGTCCCGGTTGTCCCTCTTCCAGGCTAGCTCTGCTGTGTCCAGGGAGTGCAGTGGAGGATGGCCCAAGTGCTTGGGCCCTGCACCCCATATTCCAAGGATAGGTTGCTACAAGCTCACTTATGTGGGTTTCTTTAAAAATAAAGGGGGGATGGCAAGTAAAAGCAAAACACTAACATTTGGGAAATCCATCACTTAGAGAAACGGAGGGAATGTAAGCAGCAGGTGCATACTTGCTCTGAAAGTCCTAGATGAGGACCTACGGGAAAACTCACCACAGCTGCATGCAAGAGGTACTGTCTGCATTTTTAATCCTTGAGGGAGGAATGCCCCAGCACTCGTAGAATCATTTAAACTCAAGAGTTACAAATGCCACAGACAGCATGGAAGGAGTGGAACATTTTAAACAGGAAGCATAGTCATCATCCCGCCCTCTAGCCACGCCCTCTACTACAGGAGGACCTGTGCAATGCTAATTCACAAGCACATGCACTTTTTGTGGGACTGTCTTCAGTAGATCTTGGGCTCAGCACACAGGCCTGTTGCAAGGGCTGAGGCTGCCCCAGCCCTTGGCCCCTGTGTGAACTGGCAAGTTACTGAGCTCGCTGGGTTTCAGTTTTCTCACCTGCGCAGTGGAGATACTACTAGTACCTGCTGGAGGATCAAATGAGACAGCATCCACAGAGTGCCTAGTCTGATGCCTCCCACACCTTCATTCAACTGTAACCGTTACGATTTCCCATCTTTAAAATCAGAGAGTGCTGCAGCCAGGAAGACACCTCTTAGGATGCCCGGATATCAGAGTGCCTAGGTTTGAGTCCTGGCTCTGCTCCTGATTCCAGTTTCTTGCTAATGCACACCCTGGGAGGCAGCAGTGATGTTGCAAGTACTTAGGTCCCTGCTACCTACCCATGTGGGAGACCCAGCTCATGGCTCGGCCCAACCCTGGTTGCTGTGGGCATTTCAAATATGTAAAATAAAAATAAAATCAGGAAGCTTTGTAATGGCAGTTTGCCTGAGATGATCATAGTTCAAGTCCGTGTTTGTGTCTCCCAGTTTCCTTTCGCTGTTGTAGTGTGCGCATGCGTCTGTCTCTCTTTCAAGCAGCTGCCCAATTCCACCGGGTCCAAGGCGGAAGAAGTAACACACACACAACAGACGTTGAAAGAGCACCCAACACGTGCTCGGAGGACCGGCTCGTCCTAGGACTTGGGAAAACAAAGCGATGGCAGCTGTTTCTAGAGAGGAGGCTGCAGTGCTCTGGCAAACAAATTCCGTACAGCTGGGAATTCTGTTTCTCAAGGCGGTTGCCTCGTGAGCGGAACTATGTCTCCCCTCACCGCCAATTCTCAGGTGAAAGCCTGAAGGTTAACTTCAGGGCCTCAGAATGACTGCATTTGGCGCTGAGTGCGTCAGAGGGATGATGAAGTCAAAATCATTTGTGCGGGCCTCAGGCCGGTCTGACTGATTCCTTATAAGAGGAGGAGACCCAGACACGCGAGAGGCAGACGCTGGGAGGAGAGACCGCGTGAGGAGGCCGCCATCTGCAAGCCGAGAAGCGATGCCTCTGGTGTAACCCACAGCTACAGACACCTTGATCTTGATCTTGGATGCTAGCCTCCAGAACTGTGAGCAGACACATTTCTGTTGTTTAGAGCACTCGGTCTGCGATGGCAGCCCTAGAAAGCTAACCAGTTGCATCACTCTTAACAGCTCGGAGGCATGTTCAGGCTTGAACAGAAAGGAAACTTGAGCCACGCTTCGGGGTGCATGAAGCTTAAAGGTGGTGTGGGAGGTAGAATGAGCTGGACTCAAAAGTACAAGCATCCTCTGAGTCCACGCTTAAGAATTATTACCTAGAGCAGCCAGAGCCATGAAGACACAATAGAGGCTGATAGAGGGTGGGGGGGCAGTGCGGCGTTATTGTTTCTTGAGGACAGCTGGGAAACTGTTGTGGAGAAGGATTTTAGTGATGTTTGCACAAGAATGTCAATGTGTTTAATCTGCTGGACATGTTTTAATTTGAAAGCAAGAGAGACAAACGGAGGGAGAGAGTTGCCCCCCTACACACACATACACACACACACACACACAGCCAAAGATAGAAATCGTCCATTTGCTGGGCCAGGCTGAAGCCAGGAACTCCATCCGGGTCTCCCACATGGGTGAGGGGGACCCGAGTACTCAAGTCATCACTTGCCTCCCAAGATGGTTATTAGCAGGAATCAGGACTGGGATTCAAACCTGGGTACTCGAATAAGGGACACACGTGTCCCGGTTGGCATCTTAACCACTATGCCATGTGCTCAGAGCGCATTGAAACTTTTAAAGGTACTTAAAAATGATTACAATGGGAGGCTTTATGGGATGGCTATTGTACACAATACATTTTTAAGTAGTCTATGGGGGCTCCCACTCTGCATCAAGTTCCACCTCCCTGAACTCTTAGCTGATTGATTTTGCGGCAGAAAGGAAAAGGATCGGAGGAGGAGGAGGAGGAGGAGGGAAGAAGGCAGATGAGCCAGGACTTCCTGCCCTGTTCTGGGGGAGCACTGGCCCGCATCTCCCTGGGCGAGTCCTGGTCCCACCTGCTCAATGCACAGCAGCTGCAGACCCTCACTGCCCCTGTCGGTGACGACGATTGAGAATATGATTCCCACATGCGACGCCCACGTCTTGAAGACTTTTTGTCTTAGGGCATGTTCATTTCCTAGCTTCTCTTGGGCCTTCTTATCATGTGCGGAAGTTTTTCCTCCACAGTAGCCAAAGCACGTTCCAGATGCTTCCACAGCAAAACCCATCAGAAGGCCTCCACGGCCGCCTCGAGTTTGCTGTAGTTCACCCAAGACCTGAGGTTTGTGCCCTTCCTGCTGAAGGGCTCCTGGAGACATGGAGACAGGCCCACATCCCCGCGTGTGGGATTCCCAGGGGCTGGGGCAGGGACCAGTGGTGGTAGGAGAGATCAAGTCCACTTCTTGGACAAGCCCTCAGAGAGCATTTCTCCTTGGGAGAGGATCCAACCAGAAACGAATTGCTGATAAGAAAGAGTAACTTTGCAGAAAGCCATGGAAGAGTGTCCCACAGGCCAAGCTAGGAAATTTGGGAGTCAAACAATGATGGAGGCAGGCATTTGGCCAAGTAGTTAAGACACCCAAATCCCCAAGCACCCATGTCCTACTTGCCTGGCTCCAGCTCCCAACTCCAGCTTATTACTATTGTAGGCCCTTGGAGGCAGTGCTGATGGCTTAACTATTTGGGTCCCTGCTACCCACCTGAATAGATTTTTCTAGCTCCTGGCCACTGCCGGTATTTGGGGGTGTGAACTAGGGGCTGGGCGCTTGTCCGTCTGTCTCAAACAATGTAGAAACACACTGTAAAACATTGACTATAGTAGAAAGTCACGAGTCCATGGAACTAAATGAATAACTTGAGAGTTTAATGAATAGGATATTGAAATATTTTAAACTATTGCCCCACAAAATCCTTATTACAAAGAATAACTTAGGTGGTATATCTTGCACGAGAATTTTCGTAGAGAATCTGGCAGATGGTTCTTCTAGCAAGAGGTCAAAGGGGACCTTCTCGGTGGTGGGACAAGTTGAGCCCAGATGCACCTGGTAGGATACAGCAGGAGTACCCATCAGCACCTAGGTGATGGTCCTGCCAAAGACACACAGCCTCAGTCTAGTCATGGAAACACACACGTGGACTTGGGGCCCTGGATGACAAAGCCCCCATGACACCTTCAAAAGTGCCAGGGACATGAAAGACATGAGAAGTAGTTCCAAACTGAAGGAAATGCCAAGATAGGCAACCAGCTGACTGCGACTTGGTTCTGGCCTGGATCTTAGCTGTGCATGACTGGGGTAACCGGCATAACTCAGGTGGGATCTGAGGAGTAGACAGCAATGGTATAATGGCTTTTGTTTGTTTTTTTACTAGCTTTGAAGCCGGGAAGTGGTTTTAAAGGGACTTACTTTCCTTACCTGGCAGAATCGCACATAATAGTATATGATGGAGCCTCCATTCAACAACTTACTCACTAGTGGGTTAGGGAAAATAACCCATTGCTCCTCTACTTTCCTTTAAGTGTCATTTTGTTTCAAAATTTAAAACTTGAAAAGGAAGGGGGGGAATAGAAGGAAGAATGGATAGAAGCAGAACTCTGGAAAGAAGCCACGATGGTCTCAGGTACAACCCGAGATCTTCCTTGAACTTGAATCGCCTCTCTGAAAACCCCTGTAGGGACTTGGGTGGGAGTGTGCTGAGGAGGTGGTGCAGGAATCCACTGGATGAGTTCGTCATAACCTTGCTGTTCACGTAGAGGTGCTCGCAATGACTTGATGTGTCATCTTTCAGGTGTGTATGTGTATACATTTTTTAAAGATTTCTTTATTAGGCCGGCGCCATGGCTCAATAGGCTAATCCTCCACCTGCGGTGCCAGCACACTGGGTTTTAGTCCCAGTCGGGGTGCCGGATTCTGTCCCGGTTGCCCCTCTTCCAGGCCAGCTCTCTGCTGTGGCCAGGGAGTGCAGTGGAGGATGGCCCAAGTGCTTGGGCCCTGCACCCCATGGGAGACCAGGATAAGTACCTGGCTCCTGCCATCGGATCAGTGCAGTGCGCCAGCCGCGGAGGCCATTGGAGGGTGAACCAACGGCAAAAGGAAGACCTCTCTCTGTCTCTCTCTCTCACTGTCCACTCTGCCTGTCAAAAAATCTTTTATTTTTAAATTTTTATTTATTAGAGTTACATAGAAGGAGAGGCAGAGAGAGAGGTCTTCCATCCGCTGGTTCACTCCCCAAATGGCCACAATAGCTGGAGCTGTGCTGATCCAAAGCCAGGAGCCAGCAGCTTCTTCCAGGTCTCCGGTGCAGGCCCAAGGGCCATCTTCCACTGCTTTCTCAGACCATAGCAGAGAGCTGGATCGGAAGTGGAGCGGCCGGGACTCGAACCGGTGCCCATATAGGATGCAGGCACTGCAGGCGGCGTCTTTAGCCACTACGCCACGGTGCCAGCCCCGTGTGTATAAACTTTTTAAACTGGACATCATCCTATATTCACTTTACCTCTATGTTACGGGATGATCCTATCTGCTTAATGTACAGTATCACTTTTAAGTGTTAGCTAATACGAATCCCAATGGATGCGAATTGTAATGATTCAGTGTGCTCATCACAGCTGAGCTTTGCTTTGATCTCCTTAATCCACCCTCCACACGCCAGCTTGCACCTCAGTTGGGAATGGGAAAGGGAACACCTGCCAGGTTCTTGCTGGGAGATCTTGAATTGTTCCCCACTTTCCTCTAAACATAGTAGGGCTATGTGGGGAGAAAGCCTTGAAGTGCTTCAGGTCAGCCCCCTAAACAGGTGAGCTGGGGTCAAATCCTGACTCTGCTCTTGGCTGCCGTGTGAGGCTGGGTGTGTCCCTTCACATCTCTGTGCCTCAGTCTTCCCATCCACAAGATGGACGTGTGATGAACAGCGCCTCTCTCACGAGGCCAGCGAAGGATGAACAGACTGTAAATAGCTGGTACGCGCGAAGAGCCTGCTGGTGGTGGCCATTCATGTGAGGAATACATGTAGGTGGCAGCTTCTGAGCTCTGGAATGTCAGCAAAGACACCAAGTGGGGCAACCTTCCCCCCCAGGAGGGGAGCTGGGCCTCTGTGTTGTGGCAAGGAGTAATTATGATGGAAAAAACATTTTCCAAGGTCTGGAGCTGACGTGTATTCCTTGTGACATTTTAATCTCTGAGTAATAGATTCCATTGCCTGCAGAGCTGTGATTTTTTTTTTTTTTCCATTTATTGCTTTTTCCTCTTCTCTCTCAAACCTGGATTCTGCCTCCTCTCGGTTCCAGGCTGCCTCCAGTAACCCTCAACTGTTTTTGGACAGTCCCGATTCCTGAGCCAGTTCTTTGGGCCCCAGCAGGAAACCCTGCCTTCCTTGGAGGGGATCTACTGTGTGTTCCAGCAGTCACACCATTCCCATGCTTGCATGATGCACGATTCTGCAGTGCAGATACTGCAACAAACCCTGGGGTGGGGTAGGGTAGGGTAGAGGGGTCCCATGCATGCGCTTTGGAACTGGTGGGCTCAGGGCTAGCTTTGTCACTCACACATGAACTTTAGAACCTTCACTTCTCTGAGGCTCAGTTTGCTCATCTCTGAAATGAAAGGCATCATCAGCGATGACCTTCCAGGACTGCTGGAAGGTTGAGTTCCATCATGCATGCAGAGCATGTTGTACAAGCCCCTGGACACGATACCTGCTTGGGAAATGCTATTTACAATTACTCTTATGATTTGGGGTAGCAAAAACTAGAGCCTCAGGGTCGTTCTCGTTACTGGTCTATTTTGCAGGCGAGGTAACCTTGACATGCACATTTGAAGCTTAGTCTTTGTCCTACGTGTACTGTGGTTCGCCCCTCGGAGGGCAAGACTGCCTTCTCCTTCCTGTCATCAACTTTTTTTTTTAATGAGGTGGACAAATAATTTTATTTTGTGCATGCAAATACATGTCAAGTATTGTACACTTTTTCCATCAGTTTTCTCACTGAAAATCATGACGCTCTGTCTTATGAACGGCCAACACTAATATCTCTTCACCTCAGTGCTATAGCAAAAACGCACAGAATTCACTTTAATTTTTGTGTGTGTAATTTTGAAAAGGGATGATAATTTTATTAAAGACTGAGCCATTTTACTTGAAAGTCAGTTACACAGAGAAGGAGAAGAAGAGAGAAAGTCTTCCAACTACTGGTTCACTCCCCAGATGGCTAAAACAGCCAGAGCTGCACTGATCTGAAGCCAGGAGCCCCATCCAGGTCTCCCATGCGGGTGCAGGGGCCCAAGGACCTGGGCCATCCTCCACTGCCTTCTCAGGCCATAGCGGAGAGCTGGATAGGAAGTGGGGCAGCCAGGACTTGAACCATTGCACATATAGGATGCCAGCACTGCAGGCGGCAGCTTCACCTGCTACGCCACAGTGCCAGCCCCAGAATTCACTCTTTATTATTCACTGTCCTCACAACCCTCATGGTTGCATCTCTGCCCTCCCCCACCCCCCACATCTCCTGTCTTCTTATAGTCACAGGAATCTTAGGTGTGTGGTCACCCAGCTAAGACTACCTGTCCAGTCTTCCTTGGGGCTAGCTTTGGCTGTGTGACTGGTTTGGCTGGTAGAATGCACACCAAAGTGACATTTGAAGCTTCCTGGTTACATCTTTACAAGGAAAGAGCCTGCTTTCCCTTGCTCCTTTATCACTTGAATTGACTGGACTTTTACATAGTAGACTGTTATCTTGTTGAAGCTGTTGTATTTCCGGCTCTTTATTACAGCAGCCAAACTTGCAATGAGCGGGAGAGGGAGTAGCGATTTCAGCAGAAGTGCGACTCAGTAGAGACCTGTTAGGAGACCTGTTTTCTGATTGTCCTCCTCTACTTCCTGGCCCACACACTCATTTGCTATCTTATTACAACAGCATTTTGCCTCAACTGTACTAGATACTAGCCACACAGGCAGTCTCCCACTTTTACAATGGTTCAATTTTGGGTTTTTTAACTTCACAATGATGGGAAAGAGAGACATTCAGTGCAAACCCTGCTTTGCATTTTATTCTTTTCCAGGACTAGCAGTAAAATTCTCTAGCAGTGCTCGATGGTGGTGAGCTGCAGATGCCAGTGTTGAGCTAAGTGATGAGGTTTGGTAGTTAAAAGCACTAAATGTGGAACTGGCATTGTGGGGCAGTGGGTCAAGCCTCCGTCTGATGCTGGCCTCCCATGTGAGCCCTGTGTTGAATCCCCACTGCTCCACTTGCATTCCAAGTACTTGAGCCCCTGCTGCCCATGTGGGAGATCTGGATGGAGTCCTAGGCTCCTGACCTTGGCCTGGCCCAGCCCTGGCTGCTTTGGCCATTTGGAGAGTGAACCAGTGGATGGAAGATCAATCTCTGTGTCTAGTCCGCCCCCCCCCCCCGCCCCGTTACTCTGCCTTTCAAGTAAACCTGTAAGTACTACATGCATTTTCAAGCGAATGCTTTTTTTTTTTCTTTTTGACAGGCAGAGTGGACAGTGAGAGAGAGAGACAGAGAGAAAGGTCTTCCTTTGCCATTGGTTCACCCTCCAATGGCTGCCACGGCCGGCGCAATGTGGCCGGTGCACTGCACTGATCCAAAGGCAGGAGCCAGGTGCTTCTCCTGGTCTCCCATGGGGTGCAGGGCCCAAGCACTTGGGCCATTGTCCGCTGCACTCCCGGGCCATAGCAGAGAGCTGGCCTGGAAGAGGGGCAACCGGGACAGAATCCGGTGCCCCGACAGGGACTAGAACCCGGTGTGCTGGCGCCGCAAGGCGGAGGATTAGCCTATTGAGCCACGGCGCCGGCCGTGAATGCTATTTTCAACAGATAATGGACTTATCAGGACATAACCCCATTGTAATTGAGAAGCACCTGCATCAAGATGAATAAAACAATCCCAGAGCTTACCTGATCCACCTGCCGTCTTGGTGTTACCATGTTAGTCTTTGAGAAGAAAATATCCCCTAAGAGAGGATATGGGTTCCATTCCAGATGCAGGCCAGGGCTCTTAAATAACTGCCTTATATGTCCAAAACATTTATGAATTCCAGCATGTGTTTCAAATCTGTTAACACAGTGAGCAAAATACTCAGAACTACTAGAAGTGCTAAGACACTTACTAGTTGTGAGTCCTTGGCAAGACATTAAGCCTCAGCCCAGGTTGTCAAACAAGAGTGATGCTACCTGGGGGGTTGACTTGGAAAGCGCACATAAAGTGACATTTTGGAGATGCTCAAGTGCTGTTGAGGATGACAGTGACAACAGTACTAACGATGATGGAGGAGGAGGCATGGGCTTGATTCTCCACTGTTCCGGAAAGTGGGTTATGATTGAAGTTGGCCAAGCCAGGCCCTCTGAGGGGTGGTCATCACCAATACTCTAATATGTACTATGAGGGTCCAGGCTGTTAGAAACATTTTTGAAAAATGGTCACATGACAGTGTGAAATCTGTCAACATTCTACAGCGTTCTGCCCTACCTGCCTTGTTCCTTCAATCTGCTTTTGTTGTCCTTGCCCAGTTCCTGATTGTTGGGGCATTGCCACACTAATGTAGTCCTATGGAGTCTGGAGTTGTTGCTGTGGGTCACATACGTGCCACGTGCTGGAGCCTGACTTGGAACAAATACTTTTTCATGGTAATTTGGCAGAGTTATGCTAATGGACCAGTATTGGTCCATAACTTGGGACTGGAATCTCCTAGTGATATTCTGGATAAGTTTTTATAAGGTCAATATACTTATATCACTACCTCCTAAGAATGTCCAAGGCATTGTATTGTGATAATGCTCATAATACTGTGGTTTTATGGAGAAGATTCCCTGTGGCAGGCTCAGCAATTGCATGAATTTTTCTGGTAAGGCAGACTTTTCACCTTTATTTTATAACTGCTAATCAAGCTGAGGAAGCAAATATCTTTTCTCTAAGATTTATTTGAAAAGTAGAAAAGAAGAATCTTCGATCTGCTGGTTCACCCTCCAAATGACCACAATGGCCAGGGGTGGGCCTGGCCAAAGCCAGGAGCTTCTTCCAGGTCTCCCAAGTGAGTGCAGGGGTCCAAGGACCTGGGCCACCCTCTGCTGTTGTCCCAGGCAAATTATCAGGGAGCTGGATTGGAAGTGGAGCAGCCAGGACTTGAACTAGCACCAGTATGGGATGCCAGCATTGCAGGCAGCAGCTTAACCCTTACAACACAACATGGGGAGTCAGATGGGTTAATACTCAGGGGATCCCAATGGGATTTGGGGTGTAAAATATTTGCTTCTTGCCCTCAAACATTATCTTTAGCAGGAACAACAGGCCACCCTCCTTCCTTCCTTCTGAATCTCCAAATTTACTGTGAGAATGGCAAGGGAGCTCCTCCTGACCTCATAGCTTACTGTGAAAACACGTTATCTGTCTGCAACACGTAGTTCGTCACCTGACCTTACCGTGTTTCCGGCTTGAGCTCTAACTGGTCTCCGTCCTCCCTCACATCGGCCAGACAGGACAGAGAGTTATGAGGTCTTCTGATGGTTTCTGTCCCCACCTGGTAACTGAATGCCAATGTGATTGTCGAAACTGTGCTTGAAGCTGACTGCCACCAGTTCCCTTTGGGTTTTCCTCTTGGAAGCCCCCTCCCACGCCACTCTGGCTGGAGATCCTTGATTCTAATAAACACTTTTAAATCTCTTTGCCATCCGCTTGGAAATTCTCCTTCCATGTGAGACAAAGAACCAAGGTAACAATAGTTTCTCCGCCGCCATTTTCCCACTGTCCCAAAGCAAATATCTTGAAACCTGGATGAAGCTCCTGGCTCCGGACTTTGGCCTGGCTCAACCCTGCCTGTTACGGCCACTTCGAATGCACCAGTGGATGGCAGATCTGTGTAACTCTGCCTTTCAAATAAATAAAACTTAACAAAAAACCCCTGATGGGAAAGCCAGGGAAGAGGAGACCAGTTAAGAACGCCTTAGGACTTAGGTGGGACTTAGGTAGGACTCGGACGTGTTGAGTGTGTGTGCCTGGTGGCTCGTCTGCAACACGTAGTTCGTCACCTGACCTTACCATGTTTCCGGCTTGCTCTAACTGGTCTCTGTCCTCCCTCACATCCTCCAACCTCATATTCCATCCCCTGTATCCTCTGAATGCCCACGGTCTCTCGGCCCTAACACTGGGGATGGCAGGGGAACACCGGAAACTGGAGATGGTTACCCGTTTTCAAGGGTACAAGAATGTGAAGATGGCAGAAGAATGCATGCGGCCAGCTTTGGTCTCCAACGGTGAGCCTGGGCACCACTGACCATTGGGCTTAATGTTGTGACGCAACGCTAGGGGTGGTTAGCTGGAGAAAGGTGGAATTCTCTTGTCTATTTCCACAGGACTTCCTTGCCTAAAACCTTCATGGCTTAAGTCCTCTCCAGAGCTTTGCCTGGCAGAGAAAAACTGATTGACCTTGAAATTTCTGAATTACCTTCATTCAGCCCTGGGAAATGTGCCATCTCTATACCTTTAGTATCAAGGTCTCTCTTTGTCTTATCAGTAAAATGCCATAAAACAACAGTAAAAACTATGACTCATGTTCAAAACAAATCTCATGGTATTAAAGATAGGGAGGCATGGGTTTTTTTAATCCCTTGAGAGTAGAGATAACACTAATTATTTCCTGTTTTCCAGGAAAGCAGGGTGAAGTTTGGGTAAGGTAATGGGCACGGGACAAGTCGAAGCTTCTGAGTGCTGGGCCAGTTACCCTGAGCTTGGCAAGGGCTTGTTACAGAAATGTCAAGACTTGCTTGAGATGGTCCACAGGTGGGAGTCGCTCTGAGGGCACTGGGAGGAGTCGGCGGCCTAGACCAGCTCTCTCCCTTGGCTTCTGAGAAAGATGTTGTATAAAGAGGCAGTGTTCAGGAAAGCTACCAGGGAGAGATTTCTGACTATTTGACAAGGCCTTTAAATTCTAAACCATCTCCACTATAGATTGACCAGTTATCTTTGCGGAACTGCCCAATGTGAATTAATGTGGAGTCTTTAATTACCAGAAGGAGAGTCTGATTGACTTAAGCTCACCCACTGGCACATTAACTGAGTCTTGCTGAGACTGAATGTGTTGGAAGAGAAATGATCCACAGAGATATTGAAAGGCTATTACTAAAAATAAAGAGATGGGGGCACTATATTCCTCACTTTGTAAGATACAGGTATTGCATTGTCATTCCTTCATTTCTAACTTCTCTCAATTGAATTTATAATTTTATACTAATAGAATCCATGTTTATTCTTCACATGTTTTAGCTTTCAGCTGATTTTCACAATTGAACATCATCAGTCTTTACAGTAGCCCTGCTTTTCTGAAGAGAAGAGTAGTATGCTATGATACACTAGCCTTCCTGAGGCTTTTGATTTTGCTTGGATTTCTTTTTAAAGATTTTATTTATTTGAAAGTTAGAGGTAGAGACAGATCTTCCATCCGCTGGTTCACTCCCCAGATGGCTGCAGTGGCTGGAGCTGTGCCGATCCGGAGCCCGGAGCCAGGAGCCAGGAGCTGCTTCTGGGTTTCCCACATGGGCACAGGGGCCCAAGCACTTGGGCCATCCTCTGCTTTCCCAGGCCATAGCAGAGAGCTGGATCAGAAGAGGAGCAGCCAGGACTAGAACCGGCGCCCATATGGGATGCTGGTACTTCAGGCCAGGGCTTTAACCCGCTGCGCCACAGCGCGGCCCCTTCCTGGGATTTCTAATTGCCTTGATGTTTGTGTTGTCTGTTCATCATGTGCTTATGCTTCTAAAGTGTCTGAAGCAAACCGCCTAGTTTATGGAAGCTATTTGCTCTCCAGAACCTGCCTTTTGGAACTCCCCACCTCACGCCTTCTGGGGCTGGTAGTTGGTGATACTTTCTTTTCAGCTCTCCTCTGAGTTGAGCACTCATCACCGAGTCTCACGATTTCTGAATCTGCACATCTTTCCAAGTGAGCGCCTCCAGTTAGAGGACGGAGGAAATGAACATTGAGTCCTTTGACTAAATCTGCTGTGCTTCTATTACTTGATGACATTTTGCCTGGGATAAAATTGTAATCAAAGTTTTTTTTTTTTTCCTTTTTAAATACTTGATTCAATTTTCTTTAAGCTCTGAGTGTTGCTATTGAAGTCTGTTTATTGTTCGTTCTAAAAGTTGTCTGAGAAATTTTCCGCCATGGGATATTCGTTTGTATTTTCTTTCTCTCCTTTGTTTTCCCTCTTGGAACTTCTGTTAGTCAGATGTTGGATCTTCTGCATCAGTTCTCTGTAGTGTTTATTTTCCTCTCTGATTTCTGTCTCTTGACTGTTCAGCTGGAGTTGTTCCTCAGCTTTGTCTTCCCAGCTGTCAGAGTTTCATTTTCACGATCATTTCGCGTACCAGGGGATTCCAATTCAATCCCATAGAGGTGGCATGTACCAATGCCATCTCACTGTTCCAAGTGATCAGTTTCAGTTCACAGTTGGTCATGGTGGAGGGACTGGGAGTCAAAGGGAGCACATAGACAAGTCTAGTACCTGCGAACGCTAACCGATGGAGTAAATAAAGGGGAGAGTGATCCAACATGGGAAGTGAGATACTCAGCAGACTCATAGAATGGCAGATGTCCTAAATAGCACTCTGGCCTCAGAATCAGCCCTAAAGGCATTCGGAGCTGGCTGAAAAGCTCATGAGAGTATTTCAGGCATGGAAAGCCAAGACACTCTGGCAAAAGATCTCTGCGAGTGAGATCCCAGTGGAAAGAACAGGTCATCAAAGAAGGAGGTACCTTTCTCTGAAGGGAGGAGAGAACCTCCACTTTGACTATGACCTTGTCTAAACAAGATAAGAGTCGGAGAACTCAGAGGGCTTCCATAGCCTTGGCAGCTCATGACTGGAGCATAGGGAGATTACTGATGCCATAGACAGGAGTGTCAATTTGTAAAGTCAACAACAGGAGTCACTGTGCACTTACTCCTCATGTAGGATCTCTATCCTTAATGTGCTGTACATTGAGATTTAATGCTATAACGAGTACTCAAACAATATATTTCACTTTGTGTTTCTATGGGGGTACAAACTGTTGAAATCCTTACTTAATGCATACTAAACTGATCCTCTGTAAAAATTTCTTTTTTTCTTTTTTTTTTTTTAATCAATTCCCAACTTGACTCTCACTGGGATTAAACATGACAGTAGGTCTGCTCTGATTTCATCATCATTTAAAAAAATCATCTATTTTTCACTTTATGTTTCTGTGTGGGAGCAAACTGTTGAAATCCATACTTGATGTATACTAAGCTGATCTTCTGTATATTAAGATAATCAAAAATGAATCTTGATGTGAATGGAAGGGGAGAGGGAGTGGGAAAGGGGAGGGTTGTGGGTGGGAGGGACGTTATGGGGGGGGGGAAGCCATTGTAATCCATAAGTCGTACTTTGGAAATTTATATGCATTAAATAAAAGTTAAAAAAAAAAAAAACAACTCTGTCCTTGCCTATGATTAATTTTTTCAGCATCCTATTCTAATGATTAGTTTCTGAGCTGTCATTAAAGATCCTAATTGGGTTTTTTATTTATTTTTTGACAGAGTGGACAGTGAGAGAGACAGAGAGAAAGGTCTTCCTTTGCCGTTGGTTCACCCTCCAATGGTCGCCACGGCTGGTGCACTGCGGCTGGCGCACCGCGCTGATCCGATGGCAGGAGCCAGGTGCTTCTCATGGTCTCCCATGGGGTGCAGGGCCCAAGGACTTGGGCCATCCTCCACTGCACTCCCTGGCCACAGCAGAGAGCTGGCCTGGAAGAGGGGCAACCGGGACAGAATCCGGCGCTCTGACCGGGACTAGAACCCGGTGTGCCAGCGCCGCAAGGCGGAGGATTAGCCTAGTGAGCCGCGGCGCCGGCTCCCTAATTGGGTTTTTAATACACTTTTTTTTACTTAGTGTATCTCTTTGATATATATGGCTAATTTTTTTTTTCATTAATGTTGGAGGCTTTTCTGAAATGTCTGGTCACCTTTATTTTTCATGTGTAAGAAAGAGGCAGTCTAAGGCTAACAGAAGCCTTCACAGTGTGGTTGAAGCTTGGCTAATGACTAGCTTTGTTCTGCTCCCCTCCCCCTAATTCCAACAACCACGACATCCTTTAACAAGTCTCTTGCTGCCTGGCCTAGCCAGGGTGGACCAGGTGCATACGAGAATCTTGATGTGGAAGGATGGCTCCGAGAGTATGGGAGCAGAGAGGAAAAGAGGCCTTCCCCTTCCTGGAATGAAATAAAATATTTCACAGAATGAATGGCAAGGGAGCAGAGAATTTCTCCATGAGTATCAGTTTACTGAGCAAACAAAAGCAGGACCAGGTTTCGAAACAGTGGCATAGTGGGTGGGCATTTGACCTAGCACTTGAGATGCCTTTGTCCCGCGTTATAGAACCTGGGCTGGAACTTGGCTCTGGCTGTGGCTCCAGCTCCTGACTGCAAGCTCCTATAATGCAGAGCCTTGTATCCCTGACATCCACATGGGAGAGGTCACACTGGGTTCCTGGCTCCCGGCTTTGGCCCCTCGTGCACCTGGGGCCATGGCAGGCATTTGGGACGTGAATTGGTAGGTGGGAGCTCTATCTGCCTCTTTCTCTCTTCCTCTAAAATTAAAAGAAAGGGTCATAAAAGTGCGCTTATATTCATGCATTTATTCAGTATTCATGAGCGGATACTATGAATGGTCTTCAATAAGTTCACAGAAAATGTATATGATGGAGAAAGTACTCATGGATTTCAAATCTTTGTACCAACCAAATAAAATTCCATCTTTCCATATGCTTGTTGAACTCCCTTCCTGAGTTCTAAATTCTATGATAATCTAGTCGGATCCTAGTAAGACAACTGGGATTCCTGCCCTTCAGATGTTTGCGTATTTACTAAGTATGTGTGTAAACTATGTTAACTTGCACCAGGCTAGACACCGAGGTCACAATACACAAGTTCACCCAAAGTACCTTACTTCTGGGAGATGAAAAAGACTTTGTGACTTGCCTTCCTAAAGTGAGGAATGCTGAGATAATTAGCACTGGGGGCAAACTGGGTTATATTCAGCTAAAAATGATGAGTCTTCCCTGAATGAGTGGGTTAGGTAATATGATTCCCATGCAATTCATGTCCAAAGTGATGTGTTTGGTGCTGTAGAAAACAGGACATTGGGATGGGCATTGAAGGCAGGGACAAAAACATGTCAGTGCCCAGACTCTGTGTCGGGCATCATGATAGCAACTCCATTGTAGAACTGTAGAACCTCAAAGTTACACCAGTGCCCACTATGACTGCTGTCTCTTATGTACATTTTGGACTCCAAATGGCCATGCCCAGTTGTGACATAAGTCCCAAGGGACAGCACTCAATGAGATTGATATTCCTCTACCCACGCTGATGTTTGCTCTCTGAGCCTTCTGTGTGCTCGGTGTGACAATCCTTTACCAGGAAGGCTGGATGCCTTAGCTGGGATTTTGATTCATAAATGACTTGAAAGGTAGTATCTGTCTGGTTCATGGTGCCTTGTTGCCTAAACGCCATCCTGAATTTTCATTGACTATCTCTCTTCTGAGAATTCTGCGGTGAGGCATTCAATTCAACCATGGGAACTCATGGGGAACCAGCAGAAATGGTGATCCAAGAGATAAATTCCTCACTTTAGCACCCAGTTGTAGAATCAAATTGCCAAAGATTGCATTGTTACAACACTTTGTGAGACCAATATATGGTAACAATAATAGTGAACACTTATGGAATGTTTTTATGTACCAGTGGCTTTGATAACTAAAGGTAAAAATGAATATACCTGCTTTTCATGTCTCTGTGACATAAGGTATTTCTACTGTTGCTAGTTCAGGATGATATGCTTGGGGGTGGTTAAGTAGATTGTTCAAACTTGGCTTGTAAGTAGAAAAACCAAGATTAGAGCCTAGGGCAGTAGGAATCTAAACCCTGAGCTTTGGACCGGACGACGCTGTTATCTTCCTTGTAGAGCTAGTATTTTTGTTCTGATAATTTCTCTCTGATACCCCTCCTAACCTTGGGACTAGAGTTCAAACAAAATTAAGGATTACCTAAGTCAAGGATTTGCTCAAACATGGTTAAATTAATTTCATGTGCAGGTGCAACCTAAAACATCATATTCCTTCTCAGAGTGGTCTGACTTGCATGTGAAGTGCAAACATTTATGGCTCTGAAAGTCTGGACTTTAGCTCCATAAGTGAAAGTGAAAATAGTGTGTGCCAAAAACCGTGTGTGTATCTTTCAGTTACCATCATGTTGAAAAATTTTAGAATATCCAGTGGGAACCTATTGGTGTTGCTTCTAACTATAGTTCATGGATATTTACATGGCATATTACAGAAATTCAACAGGATTTGCATGTTTAACAATCCAGAGATGACCAAAATGGCTTTCTGGGTTGAAGTGAGGATACTCTTCCTGCTAAAACGGCACTTTGATCAAATTAATTTCTAGAACTGCATTAGCACCACATGGAAATGGTATAAATGTGTTGCTAAATCGACTGCAGATGGCAGAGTGCTTTTTGGTAAGCATCAAGGGGTGTGCTAGGGTTCTGTGGGACAAACAGCATTTTGTTCTTGATGTTTTGCATAGTAATGTCCAGCTCATCTGCCTGGGCCCCTCCTTGGAAACACAGGCTGCTTAACACCTACGAGGGCCTCTAGAAAACGGAGCACGCTTGCTGTTGAGAGCTGGTGTTTCCCGCCCTGTCCTATTCCGCAGGGCGTGGAATGCCCTCGCTTCTACAGAGACAACCCAGGAAACTGCTAGAATCGCGGCATCTCAACTTCAAGTGCAGTTCCCAGGCTAAACCTCCTCTGGAAGCTCGAATGAAAAGCTCATTTCCTGTGCCCTGGCTCAGCATTGCCCCTGATAAGGTTCTCAGGACCCCGCTCTGACAGTTCCAACAAGCAATTGTTGTCAGGTGTCAGGCTCTATGCTCAGCTCTGTGGGTCTTGGGCAAACGATACATTCCCATCCTTCTCCTGGTGGCATTACCCTCATGGAGTTCATGGTCAAGGTTATGGGAGAAAGGCAAGTAAGCAAGAGATGATGGTGCATGTGGTGTTGTAAGAAGGAATTCCACCCTGGGATTATGGCAGTGACCGAACACAGGGCACTGGACCGTCAACAGGCACAAGTAAAATTAATCTAGGTGTCACGTACTCAGGGCTTCGGAGGAGGTGAGGCCGCCTGCAACCCAGTGACTGCACCAGGGCCTGTGGGAGGCGGGCTCTGCGGTATCAAGAGTGGGGCGCCCTTGGCTCCCATAGGAGGACGTGACTGGCCATGAGCTAGCAGGGAGCTGAAACTCGCTACTAAGGAATCAGCGGGCACTGTGCCTGGGCCATTCAACAAGGAGGCTACTTGGCGAGGGGGAGCAGTGAGCAGAGCAGTTGCAGTCAGGCCATTCGAGGCCCTCCTGATGTGATCAGATGTCCAGAGAGTACATGATCTTGTGTCTGAATTGTAGGCCTCCTACCACAGGGGGCACTTAGGAAGTATAATGGAAACATGGAAACTTGACTTTAGGGTTGGGGCCTGAGCAGGTGAGGCCAGGGCAAGCTCTCCTAATAAAGGAACATTGAAGCTGAGACTTGAAGAATGAGTTAGACATTCCCAAAGAGGATGCCTTGCAGGGGAACGACGCACACGTGCACAAGCACGCACATGCGCACAAACACGCAGCTGCTGGTGAAAAGCTAGCTTGTCTTGGAGTAAAGGGCGGGGAGGGGTGAGAGCCTAGACCAGGCACACGTGGGGAAAAGCAGTAGAGCAGTGAGAGATGAAAGCATAATTGGGTCAGTCGTGTGGAGTCCACCTCTCTACATGAGACGAGTAGCATAAAAGAACCAGAGCGGGGTGTGGAACAGGTATGGTACAGCCAGGGAGAAGTGCAGGAGGCAGGTCCCACCCACATGGCAGGCCCCACTCAGCGCCACTAGCTCTTTCCCTGTGGGAATGTACACTCAACACCACTCACTATTCTGATTTTTCAAGAGAAGCTCTAAGTTTTGAGTTAAGTTTTCAAAAATTATGAATTTTGGCTCTACTTGAAACTTATCAAAGCATTGTGTGCGCCAAGCTAAACCCATCAGCTTATAGTCTTCGGGTTTGCAATTTCTAGTGAAAAGCCTCGAAAGCCACAAGGGTTCAGATTTCAGGCAGGAGCGAAGGGCAGGCTCACACCTGCATCTGGAAGGCATGGTGTGTACTGCAGACCAGCTAGGGAGCCGTGATGGCTGCGTCCCCTCCTGGCAAGGAAACCGCGGTGAGAATGGAAGGAGGTGGTTCTCGGTCACCTAATGTTTAG